ACACATCAGAAGTGCAGCACGTTTAGAAAACAATAAAACAAATAATGTGCAACAATTGGTTACAAATCAAAAATCAAAACTATCGGAATTCAATTCAGATTTATGTAAAACTTTGCTATCTGCAAATATACCACTCTATAAACTAAAAAACACTCATTTTAAGAGTTTTTTAGAAAAATATATGCAAAGAGATATACCTGACGAATCGACACTTCGAAAATATTATGTAAACAATTGTTACAACCAGACAATGGATAAAATAAGGGTCACTGTCCAGGATAAAAAATATGGGTGTCAATTGATGAGACTACCGACAGCAATGGAAGGTATGTAGCTAATGTAATAATTGGTACATTAGAAATTGATTGTCCTGGAGAAATTATGTTGTTGACATCTGAGGTGTTGGAAAAAGTTAATCACTCGACAATAGCAAAGTTATTTGATAGATCAATGGCTTTATTATGGTCCAACGGTGTTCAGCATGACGATGTTTTACTTTTTGTTAACGACGCAGCACCATATATGGTTAAATCGGCATCTGTAATAAAAGTTTTTTACTCTAAAATGGTCCATATTACATGTTTGGCTCATGGTCTTCACAGGGTTGCAGAGGAGGTTCGTAACATGTTTTCAAAAGTAGACAAACTAATTTCAAATGTTAAAAAAACTTTTTTAAAAGCACCATATCGAGTCCAAATTTTTAAAAACAAAGCTCCTGAAGTAATGCTTCCGCCTGAACCTATAATTACTCATTGAGGGACGTGGTTAGATGCAACAGACTATTATTGTAAACATATACAAAGCATTCGAAATGTTTTTATGAAGTTGGATGACGATTCAGCTTCTATATTAAAAGTAAAAAATATTTTGGATGACCAACAATTAGACGCAAACTTGGTTTGTATTACAGCGAACTTTGGAATTATATCTAAATCGATTACCCAGCTTGAAAAACGTGGATTAAAACTAGTCGATTCAATTAACATTTTAAACAAAATTATAGACGATATGAACATAATTGATACACAATCGAAGAGTATAAAATCAGTAGTGGAAAAACTTAAAAAAGTATTAGAAAAAAACAAAGGTTTCAATACGCTTCGTATAATTTCAAATATTTTAAATGGCACTGAGGAAAACATTGATGAATTAGGAGATTTGAATGCTAGTGAAATGGTTTACTTCAAATATGCACCGATCACGTCAGTGGACGTCGAACGAAGTTTTTCGCAATATAAGAACCTGCTGACAGATAAAAGACGTTCTCTGCTATTTGAAAATATCAAAGAAATGTTAATAATTCAGTGCAATTCTAATTTAGGTAAGGTAAATATTTGAGAATAATTCATCAATTATTTTAAAATACCTTTTTTGTTTTATTATGTGCAGAATAATAATTAAGAAGAATGGGATCCAACATTCAAAACAGATTCAAAATCAATTTAATAATATAAATCTAGTTAAAACTTATATAGAATAATAATAAAATTAATTTTTTTAAGGGCATATTTAACCGCGTATTTTTAATTTTTTGATGCATAAGTGCATATTTTTAAATGCATATTTGATGATTTTTTAGTGCATGAAAGTCCTTGCTCTAATTATCAGTAATAGTACGATAACATACATTTTTATGAATACACATTACACAGTAATACACACTATTACACTAAAGGTTCCGCGCACAGGAGACAGGACGCGGGCTGACCGCAGCGGTTTGCGTCATAAGTGCAATTTGAGGGAGACTTGGGGGGGGGGCTAAGGTCCTCCCAAAATGGTTTATTATGTTTATACCTGTAACAATTTATCATTGAAAAAAATTATCAAACCAACAACAATTTGATTTTGAAAATCTAAATATAAATAACAGTAAATAAAAAAAAAAATCGAAAGTATCTACACTACATATAGGTACATTGGTACATGTATATGTCTTGTTTCTACTGAATATAGTTGACACAAGAATGTCGATGTCAATTTGGTATTAGATACGAGGAGACGAAGATTAAACTGTATAGTTAACTTTTTTGGTTCTAGGTCACTTTGTACGGTCGGGCATTAAAAGTGCGAAACGCAGACACTTTGTACGGTCTGGTAAAAAGGTACATTGCAGAACGCGGACACTTTGTACAATTGTACTATTATATACATAAAGTGTATATTATAAATATATTATATATAAATTATACATAAGTAGTAACTAATGTATAGTGTTAATTATTAAAATAGAAAGAATAAAAATAAAATTATTATAAAATATTGATTGTATAATAATAATAATAATCTGAATAAACAAATAATCAATAATATCATTCAAACTACATGTAAAATTGTGTACAATATAAATATCAAAAAAATGTCATAAAGTAGTATAATATATAAATAGTATTTAGATGTTATGATTTTTAGATTATTAGCTAATAAAAAATAATATAATAATAATATTATAATCTATATTAAATATGAATGTCAAATGACAATATAAATATTATGTCAAAAGGTAGTATAATATAAAAATAATATAATATGGAAATATTTCATAACAATTTTATTTTTATTTTTTCTATTTTAATAATTAACACTATACATAATTATTAGTTACTACCTATGTATAAAACTTATATTTATAATATACACTTTATGTTAGGCCCTATTATTTGTAAAATTTCGGACTGCATACTTAATTTTACTGCTTTAAATAGAAATTTAATTCTCGCTACTTTCTTGGAAAAAGAAATGTATTACATATATATATATATTACATACAAAGTCCGGAATTGTACATTTCGCAATAGTACAGTGATTTTTGTACACATTGCGAAATGTACAATTCCAGACTTTGTATGTAACATATATATATATATAATAATTGAATACAACAACAAAATACTTTTGACTGATAACAATGTTTGAAAATTAATAGAAAGAAATATTATAATTCAGTATGATTTAAATTATCTGGCACATTATTAAATTTTTGTTTTATAGATCGTAGTGCACATTGTGTGTCGTAGTGCACATAAAAATAGGGCCTGCAGTTTATGTACCTATGTATATAATAGTACAAAGTGTCCGCGTTCTGCATTTTAAACAATGGACAGTACAAAGTGACCGTTTACCAACTTTTTTAACCCGTGTAAAAAATAAACAAGTTTCAAAGACGGCAATTAATTATTGAGTATACAATTTTCTAAATTTGTGTTTAAATTTTTGATTTTTTAAACTACAGAATCGTCATTTACAATACTTTTAGTGATGGATAATAAAGGACGGTGTTTACTGAAATACGAAACGTACTCACGAGTTTCAAGCTTCTCGATGTGTCGACAAAATAGTCGATAAAAAAATAAATAGTTGAAAATAGTTATTTTTATCGTCAATACATTTATTATGCAAGCACATACAACGGGCTATACCCAATGTTACTAATAGATCAATAGATCACAAGTCAACGCGATTCCGATAATGTTCGTATGATCGCTAATTTCCAGAAATCGGTACCCACCGGTCGACGCACACACACATACGCACACGGGAACGCACCAATGACGTCATGGTAACATTCGGTGTTTCGGACAAATTAACACGATGACCGCCCAGCAATAAGACAAAACAAATTTCAAAAAAAATAAACAACGGTCCGATGCGTGCTTTATTTTTATCCAGTACCCGTGCGTGTCGCGTTAGCCGATAAGCCGCCCGTCATAGACCTTAATATAGAGGCGTGAATTGTGCATTTGTGTGTGTACGGCGTACGCAGTGTATGCTCGACCGCAATACTGCACAGTACACATCGTTATTATTCGTTCTTGACGTAATTGTATTGTTGATTTTTCGATTTAAAACGCTAGACCGCGACGCTTACCAGACAGCAGACACCGGTGTACCATAGGTCTAGTTGATCTTTTTTTTGTGTGTTTTACCTGTCGGCTATTTTTACCTTAACGTCCTTAACAGTGTTTCGTCGCGTGTATGTGTGTGTGTTTTTTTCTGGATTTTATTGCGCGTTTGACCGTTGTTTGTCGTCTGTTTTAAATTTTCCGTCACGAACACGCGACTAGAAAAATGGATCAAAAACGAGGTTTTTGATATTTCTAATTTTAAGCAGTCTTCAAGTTCTGAGAACACCCTTGTCGATGTAGCTATACGAGGTTTGTAAATAAAGTAATGAGACTGATATCGTAGCTTGTTATATGACAACACTAATGACATTCCGTTTGAAAAGGTTTGTAGATAAACATTTAATGTGGGTACCTTAAGTACGAGTTTAAACTCCGTAGTGTCGCGTGTTGGTCTGTGACAATTATTTTCGTAAATCAATTTTTTTTTGTACGTTCTGAAAATGAGTGACAACAATTTTGAGCAACGGTGTGCTATCCGATTTTGTTTCAAACTTGGACACAGTGCGACAGAAACTTTTCAAAAGCTCCAATAAGCATATTATAGAGAAAGTGTACTTTCAAGGGCTCAGGTTTTTAGATGGTTTAAGGCATTTTCTGATGGCATAGAGGCGATTGAAGATGAACCTCGCAGTGGAAGACCTTCAACTGCAAAAACTGATGAAAACGTCATCAGAGTTCGAGATCTTGTCCGATCCGATCGTCGGTTGACCGTCAGAATGATCGGAGAACAGTTAGGATTGACTCAAACATCAAAAACACCTGGGTGCTGCATCATGACAATGCGCCTTGTCACACAGCCATTTCAATCAACCAGTTTTTGGCAACCAAAAATATTCCTGTGGCCCCTCAACCCCCTTATTCACCCGACTTGAGCCCTTGTGACTTTTTTCTCTTTCCACGAATAAAGATTCACCTTAAAAGACGACATTTTGGGACACTAGAAAATATTCAATCATCTGTGACCAATGAACTGAAAGCTATTCCAGTAACTGAGTTCCAGAACTGCTATAAACAATGGAAACATCAACTCCAGCGCTGTGTGGATTCTCAGGGTAACTACTTTGAAGGAGACAATGTAAAGTAGTCATTTTAGTTTAATAAAAAAATTTTAAAAAATCAGTCTCATTACTTTATTTACAAACCTCGTAAATGTTGACATTCATTCAGATAAAAATGGTAGAAAATAGTAATACAATGGTTAATATAATTCATCAACTCGAACAAGACATTTCAATTAATACTACTGATCCCAAGGCAAACGCAGCTACTCTTACAGTCAAACTTAGACTTTAGTAATTGAGACTCTGGTCATGTACTTCATATATTAAAGGTAAAGTTATATTTTATATGTATAATATTTTTAAATCACAGATATATAGGACACTGTAAATGCATTTGCTTTTATAAGCTTTTTCTAAATACCTATACTTTATAAAGCTAAATTTTAAATCGGGTACTAATGGACTAAACTACCTACCTATCTATCAATAACTATTATTTTAATTAAATTATTTACCTAATTGTATATTTGCTTTATATTAAATATATATTATCTCTATTTTACATTTCTCCATAGGATTATCCAAAAACAACTTTAGGTACTCGAAAAAGATCTTTTAATGATTTTGAATGGTTAGAGAGGTATAGCATAGAGTAAGATGCAATTTTTTTTGCTTTGCTTGTCGCATGTTTAGTGCTTCTGGTCATTCTAAAGACACTTTTATCACCAACAGCTTTAAAAATTGGAAAAAAACAAGTTATTTTTTGACATTTCATTTAACAATTTTAATTTATATACATTAATTATGCTGTTCAGTGGATCTAAAGATAATAAAAGTAAAAAGACAAAACTACAATTTCATACTTGTTCAAATCATATTAATTCCATGTCAAGATGGTCATCTAGAAAATAATCTGAAATAAATGATACAAAATACACACAAATACAGTCTAGACAAAAGCTATAATGAATGCCAATAAATATTATACAAAAAATCTTATTGAAGTGACTCTTTACTTGGGACTTCAAGGCATTTCCTTTTTTGTGGTCATAAAGAAGATATTAAAGTATATCAATTAAAATTCAAATAGGTACATTGATTATTATGATCAATAATCATAATTTATTATGATAAATAAAAAATTGTTTAATCTTATTATTAATAAGTTATTAATATGTTATAATTTTTAAAGGTAACTTTAAACAAATGTGTAATTTTGCATCAAAAATGAATAAAATATTTGGTGTCGTGTTCCAAAATAAAACAGTTACACTATTTGATCTATCCAAAATCAACTAATCAAGTTATATGCAAAAAAAATACAAAATATAATATTTAATGAAATCAAAGAATGTGTGGTAAGGCTAGGTAAATATTTTTGTGAGGTATCTTTTTATTATTTGGATGTCAGTTATCACTAAAAATGTTGTATTTAGACGTTTGATCACTGTGTGTACGATATGCTATTGGTTTAAATGTGGTTGAATGGTTTTTAGGACTTTAGATGTATCAGAAAAACAAGATGCAAATGCACTTTCTACATTCATAACAATCATAACTAATTTTCTCAAAGAAAATAATATTACTGAACCCATAGTAGCACAGTCTTATGGTGGTGCTTTCGTAACGTCAGGTTGCTTTTAATAATGTTAAACAAAAAATTAAAAATAAATATTCTGTTGCGTTTTCACTTCCAGCAATCAAGTTTTAGGTGTTTTAAATGAATAATTATAAAAATTTAAACTAATAACATTATGTACATATTTAATATAACTAAAGTACATATAGAATTTTGTTGAATAATGTCCTCTAACTTTTTTCAATAACTGTTTATCGGGTATAATATTGCATCCCCGTAATCGATTTTGTTGGATAGTGCCTAAACTTAAAATTCCAAATTTTTTACGCAAATAACTAACTAGCTCTAATGACGTAAACCAATTATCAAAGTATAAAACAGATAGAGATTTATCTGGAATACTTTTACTAAGTTCGATAACTACTTTTTGACCAAGCCCGAAAAATTTATTTTCATAGTTTGTAAATGTCGTACGATGAAATGTATTCTCCCCACCATATGGAAATAAATCATATACGAAACCATCTACACCAGCACGAACGAACATTTTAAATCCCCATTTTTTGGGCTTATTTCTAATATATTGCCTTCTTGTTCCAGCCTTTGTTCCCTTATACGGAATCATCATTTCATCAATGAAGAACTTCTTACCTTGTTCAACTGATAAAAAATTTTGCTTTACATGCTCTAAAATAGGTCTTATTTTAGCATAACGGTCAGATTGATCAATCGTTAAATTATCGACGAAATTCAGTTGTCTTCGTAATAGTTAGTATCTTTTTAATGGCATTATACTGGCTATTGGTTCGTATCTTAAATTTGTAGACCAAAAGTCAGTGTAAGCGGGCATGGATACAATACTCATAAGTAGCTCTATTCCAATATAGTTTCTTATTTCATCAACATTTGTTGTGATTGGATTTTCAAAGTTTTGAGAACTTTACAAATTTGTATTTGTGACAATCAATTCAAAAATTTCATCTTTAAAAAACATTTTAAAATATTCGTAAGGTGTAAGTATTTCTTTCGCGATTTCTTTAAAATTATAGTGTGGAATATCTACGGGAAAATTAAAATTGTTTGACCATTTAAATGACATTTTTTCACGTGCAAATTTTTGTTGTTTTTTATGACAAGTTGGTAATTGTTCAATTGGTTGAATATTGGTTTATTGGTGACATTTGGTGACCTAAAAATGAATCGTGTAGTGCTAATTGTTCTAATCTCATTGATTTTCTTTGTTCAACGGGTGTCGAAATACGACGTTTCTCTGATCCAGATATTGATATTGAATTATTATGCAAACTTTCCGAACGATTATTATCTATACTCAAATTTTCAGGTGTAGGAAAAATAGTTAAATCTAGTGGTGGTTCAATTATATTATTATTTCAAATACAATCAACATCAAAAGGATTTCCGATTTCATCAAAAACAGGCATATTTACAATATCTAATAGTTCTTCTAAATTTGAAAAAGAGGAAGGGTCTGAAGTATCCGAATCGAATTCATTAATCTCTGAAGAGTTATCACTGTCTAATTGATTTTTAGAAATAGTATTGATTGGATCAGAATCATTTTCACTATCGGAACTTTCTGAATCAATGGGTGGTAAAGCAGCTTTAACAAGTCGTCTAGACCTAGACGATACTGCCTGATTTCGAATCATTATTATAATGCCTAGATAAAAAAAAGGTATACTTAAATTTTTTAATATTGAAACATTGCAAAATTACCATAACACATGATATATCTTTTTAGATACAATAAATATTTTCAATACATCTAGCAGTGTATCCAATAAGATACACGATAAAATTATAGTAAATTAAGCAGTGTGTCCTATAAGATACACAATCAAATCACAGTAAATTAAGCACTGTATCTTTTTGGATACAACAGTTATCTAACAACAATATTTATAAAATAACAGATAAAAACTTGAGTTTGACTACATACAAATGAAATATACTTATTAAAATAACTACTTATAGTATTATTTAATCACTTACTATGGTATTATCTTGAAAATATCGATCTAAATATATGCCTATCACAGCCGAAGCTCATGAACAAAAATTGGCTGTGGAAATGATTTATTAACGTTGATGATTCTTATCAACACATGTTCAGATTAACATTTATATACTCTTTGGAATGCCTCTATCGAACATATGAAATAATATGATGTTTATATCAAAGACACTCTGTATATTTATTAAATATAAACCATGTATCTAAAAAGATACAATATCAAGTTAAGGGTTTTAACCCTTAAACTTTTTTATGTTTATTATTAAATATTATTATTCTCAATTTACATACTTATATACAATATAAAAAAATATTATGTTATTATAATTAGTAAAACATAGTTGAAACAACAAGTTTTTAATTTAACATTATTGTATGTATTATACAAAAATATAAGTTATTCTTTATGTAACCATTTAATGTTTTATAGTATTTAACACATTAAAACTATTATATATTATAATAAATGTATAAATCAATATAATGCAATTAGTTTTAAAGTATTAAAACAATATTCTAGTACTTATCAATTCTTAAAATCTTAGTATTTAACTATTTACCTGTTTTGCATCTATCCAATAAATTATGTATTTGTTCAAGGTACCTTTCCATTGATAACAATGCCTAAGAAGAATAAGAAGAATCATTTACTTGTATCCATGAGACCTCAACGAAACACAGTTAGTATTAATTTTTTAAATTACTTGATTTAATTATATTACTTTAAATTGTTTTTTTTATTATTATTATAATTTTTTTTTTAATACAGAAGGCCAAAGTAGTATTCGATCCATCGGATACACATATACCAAAGAACTCAAAGAAGAAAAATAAAACTAATCTTATAAATCGAAAATCCATAGTAGCTACTACTGTAAAAAAAAATAAAAATGATAGAAAAATACAAGATACTTCTAAGTTAAATATGCAAACAATGACTGAGGTAATTGATTTAGTTGACGATTCGTCAAATGAATCTTCAATGCATTCACCAACACAGTCTGCAGTAAAAAATGCTGCTCCTGAAGTATCAAAAAAATGTTATATTTGCAAAATAATACTAGATAAAAAGGAATTAGTCGATTGTCCAATTTGTTTTATCAAAGGTTGAAAATAATTGTGGTATAAAATAATAACTTTTTTTTTATTAAAAAATGTTTATATTTTTTTTATAGTTCACAAAGAATGTTTAATAGTGAATGAGCCTTTGTGGAAGTTCAAGTTGGATTTATGTTATTGGTTTTGTGACAAATGCAGGAAGACAACCTGTAGTAAATGTCTCAAAGATTGCCCAACAGTAAGTTCAGTAAAATTAATTTTTATTAGCAACTAAATATTTTATTTTTCAATTTTATTTAAAGAATATGTATAGTTGCATTGCTTGTAATGTTGGTTTACATAAAGCTTGCTATGATTCATATGATATTAAACCTCTACAAAAAATAGAAAATGAAAAAGATATATTTGTGTGTATTGCTTGCATAACTATGGCTACACAAATAAATGTAGAAGAAGAAGAAGTACTTAGAGGTAAGTCTAGACAATTTAAATACATTGTAATCATAAATTATAAATTAATTTAATTAAATTTGTGTTAAGAAAAAGCTATGGCATGCATCACCAAATATGCAACTGGAGAAGATAACGGATCTAAGTCTCATAGTGATAGTGATGAATCTGATAATTCATCAAGCAGTGAAGAAGAACTTGAAGAACTTAGTGATGACACTGATGATGACGTTTATAATGAAACTGATGCAAATACCATCCCAAATATATTATACTGGACTAGTGAACAAGTGATTGAATATTTAGGAAAACATTTACCACAAGAAATTATTGATCAAATATCTAAATATGTAAGACATTATTAATTAAATAATAAAAAAATCTAGACAAATGGATACTGCTTTGCTGTACATTAGATGACGAATGGGTTACTATTATGCAAATATTAAATCTGACTTTAATGATATATCATTGTATTCAAAAAATTATTCTGAGCAAAGACTGTTAGCATTTATCACTTAGTATAGTTTATGATATAATTATTAAATTTATTTATATTTATTACTTTAAGTGTTATGGTAGGTTAATATAATTTTTCTGAAAATATTGTAGTTATTACTGGCATTCTGTTATCCATACACAATACATTCACCTTAAATTTGATTGTCTAATGCAACATTTAGCACTACACGTATGCATAAATAAAATTTTTGGTTTTCTGATTTGGTGGACAGATAATGTTTCCAACATATCAACTTTAAATTGCTGTCTTGTCCTTTTTTTTTTTACCATTTAATGGCAGTATTTTTTTTTTTTTTTTAATATTTTTATTTTGTTGAATGATTCAAATTTAATTTTCTTTTTATTCCAGACCAAATCCAACGCATCATAAAGTTTCAATAATATGAACCATAACCAATGAAATATTTTTTACTGTTATACTATATTAACTAATAACTAATAATCAGTAACATAGATTAAAAAAAAAAAAATGATCTCTATGTGTACATTTGCTGATTATTTAAATAATTAATAACTCTATTTTTCATCAATTCATAGAATCAGTACTCATTTTTATTACTTGCTATACAAGGTACTCTTTCATTTTAATAGAAATTCAAGATAATCAGATGAATAGTTTCAAAGGACATGTGTGACAGAGATTTCTATTTTAATATTTATATAATATTATATATATATGCATAGATAAATTATACCATTATATATCAATTTGTATAATTCAAAATTTAATGTTATTTGTTTGTAAATAAAAGCACTTTTACTACCCCAAAAGATGATGATGATAAACAGAAAAAAAAAATAAACTCATTATAAAATCAATACATTCATTGCTCTGCTCAGAATCTAAAATAATAGCTATGTTGATATCTTTAATCTATAATGATAGATTGGTAAACATTTTCTAATAAGTATTTTATAATTTTAGAATCTTAATGGTCGTTCTGTACAGTCACTTGGACGGTCTGATATTACATCAAACATGGGTTTGAAACTTGGACATGCATTGAAATTGTATAAGGAAGTGAGAATTTTACAAACGCAAAGTAATTACAATAGTTTATGTTGGGAATAATTATTATTACACCTAATATCTATTTATCATTAAGTGATAAAACTTTATTCATGATTTTTTTTTTTTTTTGTATTCACATAAAATATAATTATAGTAAGTTTGAAATTTGTCCTTTTGACAATTTTTAAACTGATGTATTTAATCAAACTTGTTTGTTACAAAAAAATTTTTCTTGTCACTAATAGTGAAATAATTTCTGATAAAAATACATAATTGTTAATAGTGGCATTTTTGGGGGGGATCTTAGGATACTATCTTTCCCTATCCCCCTCAGAAGAAAAAAAAGGTTTAAAAGTAATAATAAAATAGTTAAATCATAACTTGTGTGTTGTATTTTTTATGATATTATAAACTTATTTTTTAAACAACAAAAAATTGTTTTTTAGAAAAAACAAAAAAATAAAATTTTAAATGTGCCACTGATAGTTATTTTGTAATAGTTTTAATAATAAGTTACTTAATTATATTATTTAAGAACATTATTCATATTTTTTAATAAGATATAAGTTATTGTGTTTATACATACACTTGCTAAACTATACGTATTTATATTATATTATACTCTACATGTATTTAAATATTTAAATAAAATTGTATTCATGCAACATTGGTATTAATTTTTAGAAACATGCTAAATTGTATATTAGTTACTATTTAAAATTAATTTTTTAGCATATAAGTTTATAGTTTATACAATAATTCAGTTTTGTCATTATAATTTATATGATTACATTTTATATTACAAATTATTTGTTTTATTTTTCGTGTAATAATTGATATTGTTTTTCACTAACTAATTTTTCTATCTTTGGTTGTATCTAAGACTCTGCAATCCTCAAAGAGTTTTCTAAGTGAATGTCAGTTAACCGAACTCTAGTTTCAATTTGAAAATATATATTTATAAGACATGTAAGTTCAGTAGAACCTCGATTATCCGTGTTTGCGATTAACCGTGCCCACTCCTCCAAAAATTATTAAACATAATAATTGATATCGACAATCGTAATTATGACATTTTTGACGATAATAATATGAAGATAAGCAATATTGTACATTGATTATTATATTTATTATATTTCTAATTATAATTGAATCAAAATTTTTAAAATTTCATTATTATAAAAAGTCGTCCCGATTAACCGTGATTTTAATTTATTCGTGTGTCCCTCTCCTCATCATTACCTTGGATAATCGAGGTTCTACTGTATTACCAAATAAAAGACATAATTTTTAATGCATTATTTTGACGATTAGGATATGTCTCCATGACTCCATGTGAATATAATTTGAATGAAAAATTGAAAGTTAAACGTTATTTTACTTTTCTTTTAATATTGTATCATTATAAGTTATAACGAACTAAAAGGTAACAGCCAACATTTGTACAGTTAATCTCTTATCGCATATTCCTAATTTTTTCATAGTGATGTCTTAAAGCTTAAATGAAGGCTTATAGCCGTTCTAATTTTATCAAATCTGTTCACGGGCCACAAATAATGACAAGGTGGGCCATGGGTTGGAGACCCTTAGTTTAATACATCCAACTAGAACCAAATTAATTTAAATATATTTATATTATTTAATTAGTATTGTATTGTAGACGTTTTATTGTTGTTTAATTTATATTAAAAGCATACAATCGATACATACAACTATTAATTTTGTTATTTTTACTAATGGCAAATGATCATGATTTATTTTTATTTTATCCCCATAAATATAATTGTGAAAATTTGGAAGTGCTTATGTTATAATAATAATCCTTTCTCTATTTGAACATAATTTACCTTTGTAGATTAAGTCCTAGACGTGAATGCTACTGGTTTGTTAACTTGTAACAAGCAGCGTTCCAACACTATTTAGAAGCTTTAACACTATTCTATAATTTGTTTACTTTTAACAAAATTTTTTGTTAACTGATGCCTCTACTATTTAAATATTAATTTTTGTTAATAACTCAGAATGTTTATTTACCCACTGCCAAATAACCTTATTTTTTAATAGTTACCTAAATGGCGAGCTTAATTCTATTGTCAAATTTAATATGAATTGTTTTTAATAATCTATAATTCCAAGTATTTTTTGTCGTCCTTTTTTATTATTAGGTACAATAAGAAGTTCCTTATTTGTAATAATATTATTATCATCTGTAGGTTTCACATTATATTTAGTTAATAATAATCATAAAGACTTAACTTCACTCTGGTAATATTTTAATCTATTTACATTAAACTTAATACTTTATTTTTTTTACCCAAACATTAACTTTAATTTCTGTCTTTAATAACTTTCTTCCTTGTAGGTATAAATTGCTCAAAGCATATCATCAAGATGAACCATTACATTTTCTGGATCACCAAAAAAAAATTAAACAGTTAACTTTTGAAAAATCCCTGAAATCCATAATAAATCAAATGGTATTTTCATAAGCTTATAAAATCCTAAAGGACTGTTGAAAGAGCAATAATTACTATATTATCTTGGCAACCTAACTTGTTGAAAACTGGTTTTTTAAATCAAACACAAAAATTCAGAAAGAATTTGAAGTTTTTAAGACAACAACAAAACAATAGGTACTATACTACTGTGTTTATTGACAGTGTCAGGTATGATGCATGTCATAAATAAAACGACTTGTGATCCACCTATCAATAATATAAAGGTAATTCTTAATTTTTAGTTTGTACCTTTTATAGATATGTCTGCAACCTGCATTCACACTAATATGCAACGACAATTTCTTTTGCAAGATCGTTGAGCAGCTGCTGCCACTTTTAATCGATAAACGTGTAAACACATATAGGTCAACTGTCTATATAATAAAAACAATAGGTATGACGGAGCAAAATATGTTATAATAATATAATATTAATATTTATTATTTTTGATGGAATAGTTTATGGTAAATCGTTATCAAATATTTTATCCATTAAAGTAAAATTTATGAAAAATGTACGTAAAAATTGTTGTTTCATTTGTAAATATTTTTAACATATGAAATTAGTTTTGTGCTTGGTAAAAAATGTTTTTGGTCATTACAGAAAAAACGACATTAGCATATTTTAAGTAGGTAATAATTATTGTGTGGATTTATATCACAGAATAAATTAATTTTTATTCGCCAAACGTACATTATCTGATAGTACACACGTAGTATATCTTTTGATATTTTACTTTAATCACTTGGCCACATTTATTATTGATAAGCTGTTATCTTTGAATTTGACATCGAAATGTTTATTAAATTTTAGTGTTTATGATCATGGACATTCTAATGTTTTAATCCACCTGTTTGCAGCAAATAATCAATCATTTGTTACTTAATACTAGTATTCTTTTGAATAATTTTGAATTGTGAATAATTTTTTAAATAGATAATTGAATAGAAATCATTGTAACACCATTACCTAAAGTTTGTCATGAATACTTAAACTTAAACTCGTGAAATTTAATTTATATTTTAAATTGTATTAGTCCGCACAGCTTAGTGTAAACAGTGTATAATGGTCAATTATTAAGTTTAGACATTTATTGATCGGTAAGTTTTTACGTTTATTCCACTGACAATAATTACTATTTGGTCTAAGTTGGCTAATAATCTGTGAGTAAAATACTAATCATCTACATTGACACTTATATAATCTAATACTTAATAGTTTCTTTCATGTGAATTGGCATTAGTTAAATGCTTAATAGTTTAAATACATTATCAATACAAATTCAGAAATATCATAGTTAACAGCCAAAAGTAATAGTATGTACATTTTACATGGGTATTAATTATTTAATTATTTCAACATATTTTCAGATCAATGTTTTATTAAAATACTGAATACAAGAATAAAATACTATTTTGGTCAATGTAAATCAAATTTATTATCGTGTCTATTCGATATATATATATATATATTTATTATTTTTCCACTATACTTATTATGTTTGTATTTACTGTAAAAATTAAACCCAAATGTTACATACTCAGCCATGAATTGGCTTTAATCCAACATTCCTGACACACTCATACCATATTTTATTTTGTCATTACTGTAGCTTTGCCAAAATATATAATCCTAGGTATGCTTATTTATAACAAGCACTATGAAGTTCACAATAATTTTTATCAATAATAATTTTTTTTTCTTTCCGAGTAATTTGAGGCATTACTAATTTTACTGCCCATTTTAAACAAATAAAGTTGATATTTGAATAAGTTATTTTATTTTGTTACAGTTCATGTAGTTTTTATAGTTAATTCAAAATGACTTCTAATGAGCCACTACTTGTTCAAGCTGTTTATTCATTTAAAGGAAAAAATAATGACGAGGTAAATTAAATTATTGATATCATTAAGTTTGCGCTTATATTCAATGTCATTTTGATATTTTTACTACCGCTTATTTAATCTTAGTTTATATTTTTATGAATTGCTAATAATATTTGTTTGCTTAAATATTTATTGAATTGTAATATTATATTTTCATGTCTTTAATCATTTTATATCCCTTAGAGGAGACCTTGAACCAACGTTATGGTATGATTTTATTATTTTTATATAGTTTATACTCATTAAGTGTTATTTATTAATTGTGTGCTGAGCTTAAAGGCGTGGAATAAATGCACGGAAGTCCATTTATATGAACATATTTATATTTTGTTTAAATTATTGTAATACCTTGCTTTTAGCTGTGTTTGAAAAAAGGTGATATTGTGATTGTCACCCAAAAGGAAGATGGAGGTTGGTGGGAAGGAACCCTTAAAGAAAAAACTGGTTGGTTTCCATCAAATTATGTCAGAGAATATAAACCACAAGGTAAAACATTAATTTAATTTAATTTATAACTATGACATTGGAAGTTTTATTTCAGCAGAAAATATTACAAACAATAAAGTGCCAAACATACTGGTAGATTTAACTGAACAGTTAAGAGCTAATCGAGCTGTAGTTGTTATGGATATCGTGGAATCAGAAAGAGCACATGTCACTGAATTGAAGACACTTATCCAAAGTTTTTTGATTCCTTTGAAAAACTCAAATATGTACAGTATTTTTATCATATTGAAATTTAAACATAAATTATGATAATAATTTGATTATAGAATGACTATCGAAGAGTATAATCAATTAGTAAATAATATTGAAGAAGTTTCTAAAACCCATGAAGAGCTTCTGGAATCATTAGAACAAGCCTCTCGATTACCGCAGTCTGATCAAAGAATTGGCAAACTGTTCCTAAACAAGGCATCTTTTATTCGAACTGTGCATTTACAATATTGCGCTTCTCATCCTAGAGCAGTTAATATCATTGATAAATATAAGTATGGACTAAAATTATTTTGCTTTTGCTTAAATGATCAATTAATTTACTTTACACTTTTCATGGTAAAATGTTAGAGATGAATTAAATCAAATAATGGAAACACAAGGTGCAGTTAGTCCTGGAATTTTAGTGTTAACTGTGTCATTAAGTAAACCATTTCGAAGATTAGACAAGTATAGTGGGATGCTCCAAGAACTAGAGAGACACCTTGAAGAAAGTCATATTGATAGAGGAGATACTCAACGATCCATCAGCATTTATAAAGAAATTGCGGTTTGTAGATTTTTGTATCACCAAAAATAAAGTACCACTACAATAACATTTTAACTTCAATTTTTTCAATTTCTTTTTTTTTTTTTTTGTGTTAGAATAATTTTAAAACGTGAACACACTTTACGTATTTTATTTTCTTAAAATCGGGTGATTTACATTCCTATATCACTAAGCCTTAATATTATTTAGCAGTTTTGGCTGAATATATGTTAACGCATAACAAATATTTCTTTCAATTATAATTCAACATCGTTAATAATTTATTTATTTTTTAATTCAGCATGTAAACGTTTTTATGGTTTTGGCAAAATATCGTGAGTTAATTTTCTTTTAAGAACATTGCTAATTTGTTTTTGATTTAATAGTTTATCATCTGGTTTTAAATGATTATGGTCTTTAGATTGATATATTCGTATTAAAATTATTTTTATATTTATAATAAAATTTACATGATTTCAAATAAATCTCTAACATACATTATCTTTTTAAAGTTTATAAAATCAAAATTTAATACCATCAATTAAAATTATTTTTCTCACTTAATAATTCATTTTTGAATATAAAAAAGCAATTTTTTTTTCATAAAATATCTGTGTATATGTTACCGGCAATGTGTTGAATCCGATATTATATAGAAATCCTAGGTGCTCTATAGAATACCAAAAATAAGCAGGAAAAGTATAGAATGTAATGCAATGACTAGGTATTCTATAAATCATCTAACCTCAAGCAGGAAAAGTATATATAATTAATATAAAACTTAGATTTGTACCTAGTGTACCTTTGTAATCAACGATTAATGTATTTATGTATGATAAAGATAAACTTTATCTTGACGATTATGCTATTGCATACAACGTGTGCAATGTATTATCGTTATTATTAGCTAATCATATTATCATGTTATTCGTGTATACAGGAAAATTCAATATATGTCTAAAAATGTTATTTCTTTTCACTTTTGTAAAAGTGTTTGTCGTATTAAGATACATTAAAATTTCTGAACGTTTTTATGTTGAACTAAAGAAAAGTTGAAAAAAGTTGAAAAATACTGTTAATTTATTGAATGATAAATCTAAAATATTAATCTAAAAAATGCTTATGTTTAAAAAATAATATTTTATGCAATTATAAATGTCATGCATCAATTATATGCTACAATAAATAAATAAAAATAAATAATAACAAACATATTTTGATTTAACACAATATCTAACATAGTGTAGATGTTTTATAGAAATCCTAGAAATTGTATTGAATATCTAGGCATAATATAAATTACCATTCAAATTTAATACATTGCCAAATAGTTCAAGGAATTCTATAGAACTCCTAAGGAATTTTTAGAGTGCCTATATTCACTACTTTGCCGGTAACATACATACATTTTATATTAGTTGAAAAACTCAATCGTACAAACGATTATAAAATTGTATAATATGTATATTACCGTCTAATCCATAAAGGTATTAATCAAACAATAGGAATATCATGAAATCAATTTTTTTCTTACCCCCTAAAGTTTTATTTTTTTTTTTTTTAGATTTTTTAAAATAAATCATGTTATGTGCTAAAATTTGTTGATTTATTATAAATAATGTTAAACAAATTAAATTTTTTTTTTAATTTTCCAGAGTGTATGCTTATCAACAAGGAAGCAAAAAGAACTGGAATTATCAATATTAAGTGGAGTTGTACAAGGATGGGAAGGCACTGATGCATTGAGTTTAGGCGATGCAATTAAAATTGGTTCTGTTGCATTTGGTTCAGAGCATAAAGATAGATATCTAATGTTATTTTCTACTCATCTAGTTATTTTATCAGTATCCCAAAGACTAAGTTCATTTATATATGAAGTAAGCCGATGATACAATCCTTATTATTATTTTAGTATCATAACACTATTATAATATTTACTCCCTCTATCTATTGATTATGTGTTACAATAAATTTTCCTGTTCAATTTATTATTTTTTGATACTAATGATTATAATCTTTAAACTTTCGGTTCTTGTCCCTTATTAACAGCTACTATTTGTTGACATTTGATAATTATGTAAACTTGACCTAGCTTTATTAGTGAATATGTACAACAGAGATTACCAATATTAAAATTTTAAAACTCAGTTTTTATGGAAATATAGATTATGGTTTTCTTGTTTTGCTCGTTGGATAGGCAAAGACAGTAAATATTGATATAAAAATAATAATATTGATTTTTTTATTATTCAAATCACCAATATTCATTAATATTTGTTAAATAAAATTAAAACAGACATAGTTACAGTTATAATTATATGTGTATTTTTTTAGGGTAAGCTACCATTAAGTGGAATTTGTGTCAAGAAATTAGACAATAATGGTGCCATTAAAAATGCTTTTGAAATATCTGGTAAGAAATCTATCTAGTTACAATGATCATTGTTAATTAATAATATTATCTATTTTTTTTTTTCAATTAATTGAATATAAATGATTTATATTGTTTATATTTTTAGGTCCTTTAATTGATAATATTGTCGCCGTTTGTCAGTCAAAAGAAGAGCAAATTGATTGGATTCAAAAAATTAACAAGCAATTAGGAAATAAGTGTATCACTAATACTACACCCAGTAAATCAGTAAGTCTAAGCCTTGGCCGCCTTAGTGATTATTTCGCACATTTAGTATGCAAAGGTGTTATAACTAGATCACTTTTGAAATTAATTCTTTATACACAATACATAAATAATGTTGATACATCAAAAGTTGTTAGGCGTTATGCTATTGAACATAGTGAATTTAATTCTCCTCATAAAACTAAACAACAATGTCTAGAAGAAACAAAATGCAATAACAAATCTAATGAATCAAATAGTTATGATATTTCATCACCAAGACATTGCTCGTCAATGGTTCTTAAAGAAGATGGAAAAATTATTTATGGGAAAAAACTTTTGTTCACTCCAATTCAAACCAAAGCCTGTCAAGATTTAACTATGTCGACATTGTACAAGGAAGACATGAATGATAATTTTAATCAACATATTTTAAATTACGAATCTAATACTGAAAATTTAAAACCAAAACATTTAACGATTCCATTGCTAAACACAGATAATAAAGATGACATTTACTTATCAGATAACCAGGATAGTACATTTTCCTTGTGTGATTTAAAAACATCTTACTGTTATGATAACAATGGTGAAGATGGAAAAGATACAGAAATAAGTCAAGATTTTCTATATTTTAATTTCAAAGATCATAACAGTTTAAGGTCGTCTGATTCTGGGTTGGCAGATATCACAATTCCTATTGCACAGCAATCACCATTACCACCTACTGAAACATCTAGTAGCAATTCTGATCATTTGTGTAAATCTTCTTCATCGTTACACATCAACTCGTGTATATTTGAAGGCATAGATTCGTCATCATTAAATAATAAAGCATCTATGCCGCTAGAAAAAAGCGTTACATTTCGTTCTGAACTTTATGCACATTGGTGGCTCAAAAAAAAGCTACAGGAACCTCTTGGCAGTTGTGATTCAGGCAAGATATTAATTTATATTTGACTGTGATTGTGTTGCTAGTTGTGTCACACAAATTATACAGTTTGAAACTAACATATGACATTTGCCGAGTTGATTTTTTTTTTTTTACAAAATATATCCTTTTATGATATACTGATGCTCAATAAGATAATCGATTGTATGCAGTGGCGGTTTGAGTTATTTTAACTTGGTAATGCAAACGAAATAAGAGTATGTACACCTCACTCCAGTGTCGCAACAAAAATTTATCTATTATACAAAGAAAAATTTTCAGATACTCTGGCTAATTTTTTCTTGTAACCATCACTCCAGAAAAATTGTATATACACCATAAGTGCTTGATCATTATTTAAAATTAAATTATTATATAATATAATACACTATAATATTATACATTAATTCTATAAATATAACATAATGGTTCTCCTTTTTATGTTTTTTAATTTACGAAAGGAGTGCAACTACTGTTAAACAAGAACCCAAGTCGCTACTGATTGTTGTTTATGTAAAAATTAAATTATTCTCTTTTTTTTTTTTTTTTTGTCATTACTATAGTGTTTAATAATTTAGTTTTTAAAATCTATAAATGTTATAAATGCCTGGAATCACATAGCCGATTATCTAAGACTTAATTATTCCACCAATGTGTAATAAATTATTTAGATAGTGATTTTAATGCTATTTGCATACACTTAACATGGCATAATTATCTATGCTTATACAACCCTACTGTTAATAATAAACTAACAAGAATAATTCAATATTTTATATTAAACGAATAATATATATTTACAGTTTAAATTGTTCATACTAATTGCCGTGGTTAACATTTTTTTTAACTGTAAAATAAATATATTTTAAATTATTATTTGTATTACTGTATTACTTATACTTTATTTTATGTTACATTATTAGTTCTGTATGTAGATCTTCAAGATTTTTTGTTTTAAGAATTGTATATTTTCTTTCTTTTTTTAGATGGAAAAAGGTAATAGATTAGCTTGGGATGTGACAAGACTTAGACCCATTCCACCACTTCAATTTTATCACAACATTAATGAAAAAAATATATGTGTAACTAAAAGATGTAAGTAATTCTATGAATTTTAAGAATGAATCATATTTTCTATCTAATATTATAAAAAATTTACTTGTCCTTCTACGTGTATCCTGTAATATCCATATATATACATGTGGCAGATTATATTACTAAATTTCTCTTAGCAGAAATAAAATTATTCATTTTGCTGATTACCTTTATGAAACTCCATTATAGGTTTAATTGTATTCTATCCCTGTCCTTAGATTTTTATGTAAGTTATCTCTCTTTACCGCAGTTTATTTCTTTATAGCTCCATGTAATTATCTTCTTAAATTAAATTTTAAACTTATGTTTTTTTTTCAAAACATAAATTTGAACTTAGAATGATTTCATTTTAACATAAGTCTTCATTAAAAATATCAATTATAAATAAAATAAAAACATTTTTTGTTTTTAATTTAGCTGAAAGAACATTTGAAGATGATGGGAAAGTCTTGAGAGTATTTGAAGCATTTTGTTCAAATACAAAATCACGACACGCCAGTTCAGGTGATCATTCATTGTTATTGTAGTAAATTATGATTGAAACAGCATTAGTAATTAAATATACTTAAATACAAATATATTTTAATTTCTGTACCATTAATAATTCTGTAAGGCTGTGAATAATTTTGTATGCATTAAATAGTATTATGTTGAATTATTATAACTGACATGTTAACATACATACTAAAAATCTTTTTCTTGTTAAATAAAATTTAAAAAATTTAAAAATTATTGCTTAGTACTAATATTAATGTATTTTTATGTATGCATCAATTTGTTTTTATTTATTATTATTATTATCCTCTACAAAATAATAATCAAAATATCTATGTTTAATGTGGATAAGTATTATATTCAGAAGTAGTTAGTCAAAAATGTATTATTGTATGTGTTTTGTTCAAACTATTGATTAGAAAATATAAATTTATAACAGGAATTTAAATTAATTACAGTATTGTATTGTTAAAATTTAAATTGAAAATTTGTCTTTGGATATTATTTGTCAGACGTTAAGTAAATTCATAAGGACTTGAATACAATTAGTTAATGAATATGTTAATTATAATTTTATACTATATTACTATATTGTACATTTTTATAAATTGTTTAAATAATTAAATATATATCTGTATTACAATAAATTAATTTGTAAAATAATTATATGTTATATTTTAAAGAAATTTATAAAAATAATATTTTGGTATTGTTTAATATTTTGCCATATAATTCAATATCACTTGGTGGTTGATAACAATATATCTATGAAATTTTATGTTTATGGCATAACACAACAATTTAGATTTCTCATTTAAAAATTAAAAATTGGCCACTAAAATTTTGATTAATTAATACTTATACTGTGTGTTATAAACTCAATTTATTTCATTAGATTCAAAACACTTAACTGATGCAAAAATTGTTTTAAATTTAAATTATATTATGTTTGATAAAAAAAAAAAATGTATTTATCATTACAATTTAATAAATTCTTTACTATACCTATATAAATATAATACCATTATAATAAATTGTTTTAGAGATAGATGAAAACACAAATGTAATTTAAGAAAAGTTGACTCTTTAATAATTATTATTTTTGTTCAATCTATTTTAGAATTATTATTATAGCTATGTTCAAGTATAAAAAAGGCCAATATTTGTTGTAGTAACAAATAGTTTTAGTTCATTATTTTAAATATTAAGGTTTCTCATATTATTTATTTCATCGTGAGTATTGTTAAGATATCAAATACCTAGTCAAAATATATTATAAATCTTTTTTAGTAGTAAAACAGAAACTGAATAATAAGTAAAAACTGTTGTGAAAATTGTTATCAATTTATCATGCTTAAGAAAAAAATAATCTCTATTAAGTAGGTAACACACTGTTCTAGTATATTAATAATAATAATTTATTTATTTTGGATTCAGGGCTGATAATTAAATTAATTTAAAGAAATTATGAAAATATAGTAATGCATTTTTTAAATTTTTAAATATTAAATAATTTAATTAATATTATAATTACAGTCTAATTTCTATCTATTATTATGCCTAGTATCTACAAATTTATTATCTACTGGGCGAGCCATTTAATGTCATACACTAATGTTTCCATAATTTTATAGAATTAACCGAAGGCTGAATACACCTTTGAACAACAACTTAAACAGCTTGACAATATAATTTTAGATCAAAATAGGTTTGTGATTCTTTGCATCAGTTTTATCATCAGACTTATATATAGAAATAACGGAACTTATCTTAAATATAAATGTGAAAATTCCCATGTCAAGGGAGTAACGGAATATCAACTATAAAGGATATTAGAGGGCTGCTCTTATGTTATATAGAAATGTTCCTGACTAGCAGATTTTATAGTTCTTAACGCAGATAAACCAAGTTTGACATCATCAACGGTAAAGAAACAATAACTTGAGAAATTAAAGTGCGAAAAAGAAATATCAGGAATATTGTTATGAGAGGAATAATTGTATAAAGCATATACAATGCTAAAATAGGAAGAGAAGAAGCTAGTTATTTTATTGATTTAGAGCTGGATATTCTGGTACCTGAGATGACAACATGTCAATTACCCCAAACCATACTGATGTTAGATTCATTCCTTAGGTCTAATATACTCCTCTATTGCTAGGATTTTATCAGCCATTGACCCCCCAGTCTCAATACCACATTTTGATTATTTCCGGTTAATATCGACAATATTTAACTCACTAATGTATTTTCTAACCATTCTAGTGATTAAATCCAATTGCTATTATTTACCTAATTTAAATTACATAAGATACAAAATTAACGTGAGTCAAAATATCGCTGGTAGAGATGTACTTTTCAACTTGTTAATAGCCTAAATTATATTTAACACTATAGGAATCACACTAAATTTCGCAAATTCTGCCAAAATTTACCAACTTTAAGTTAAATAAGTACTAAATATTCAATCAAAAAAATTAATTTGAATATCTATTATAGGAACTGATATAACGGTTCTTTTAATTCTATATGTAGGTACTAATTTATTTTAATTCACGTAAAATTAATTTCATTAAAATTAGCACTTACTTAACTCCTTTGCCGATTGCACCAAATGTAGGTGTAGGGAATTTGAAATAAAACTTAGGTCGCCTTATGACTGGAGAATTTATCATATTACAAATAATACTAATATATAGTATATATAGTACGCAGACATTATATTTTTGGAACCAGTCCAATTGAAAAAAGAGGTGGTGATAGAAAATCTAATCAGTTTATGGATAGAAAAAATGAAGTAATCGCTTTTATTAAAAAAATTAATGTTATTGAAAGTCATTATTGTAGAAGTAAATCATTTAGTCGTGTTTATATTAGTAGTGAGTTAAATATTAAAAAATTGTGGCAAATTTATAATCTTGAAGCATTAACTGATTCATTAACAGTGAAAGAAAGTTACTTTCGCCATATTTTCTGTACAGAATTTAACATAGGATTTGGAACACCAAGTACAGATGCATGTTCTACATGCACAAGTTTAGCAAAAAAAATTAAACATTCAAATTGTATTACTAAAAAAAATTAATTAAAAACAGAACTGAAATTACACAAATTAAAAGCCAATACATTTTATTCCAAATTAAAAGAAGATAAAAATGACTTACTTATTGTTTCATTTGATTGTCAAAAAAATCAACCATTGCCTCGTGTTCCTGATCAAGCTGCATACTATTAACGCCAGTTATACAAATATAATCTGACCATTATAATAGGTCATTCAAAATGTAAGTATACTAAAGATAATGTTTTCACTTATCACTGGGATGAAACAGAACATGCCAAAGGGTCTAACGAAATTGCATCTGCTGTTTATCATTGCCTATTAAATTTAGTTATTCCCAGTGGCGGCGCGTTAGGGTAGACTGACATAGTCTACCCAAAAATCCCAAAAATATAAAACAATTTAATTAAAAAAATTAGTTATTTATTATATGATACTATACCTACTATATAAGTATTTTATTTGTTCATAATTTTATAAATAAAATGTTATTTACACTGATTCGTCTCTACAATGTCTGTGTGAGTAACGACTAACGAGTATGACTAAATATATATAGTATAATTTTATTTATATCTTATCAATAATTATGTAATCGCTCCGTTGTCGCCGTCAAATCGGTCGAGACATATTGAATTGTGTCTCACTATTGATGACGAGGGCTTATGACATGGTAAACGGGGACGTAGTGGGGTATTACCAAAATTATATGCATGGACGAGACATGTCTCAACGTAATATTTTAGTAATTTAATTGCACATTTGCATTCCGATTGTGGTTAATGGCACACGTTTAATGTTTATCATTTTTTCTTAATGAAGTGATATACATTTAAAACTTAATATGTCAGATATTATTGATATTATTTTAAATAAAGGTCTTGATTCTTTTTCGCAACAAAACAAAATCGGCGAATTGATTTAAATTATATTCAAATATAGTTATTTTATGTAATTTACTTTTTTTTTATGATGATCTAATTTTTAAATAAATTTTATATAACACCATATTATCTTTGGTTGTCTTGTTGTCTACCCTACGAAATTGTTCACGCGCCGCCACTGGTTATTCCTACATCAATTAAAACAATACGATTAGTTGCTGATGTTTGTGGAGGTCAAAACAAAAACTCAACAATGTTGGGGATGATATCGACTTGGTTTTTGCATTTGGTCCCTGTTCATATTGAAGCTTTAGAAATGATTTTCCCAATTGTAGGCCATTCATTTCTACCAATAGATAGGGTATTTGCTAATATTTAAAAAAAAATTAAAAAGAAAGATGTTATTACTAGTCCAGATGATTATACAAATTTATTTTCAGATTTTGGTACTACAGTACCTTTAGCTGGAATAGTGTATGATTGGAAGACATCTGTACAGTCAGTTTTTAAACTTCCTGGCAATTGGCATTTTAGTTTTAATCCAACAAAAAGATTTTTATTTTAAAAAAATGTACAAAAAACTAATGTTTTGATAAAAGGAGAAGTAAGCTATAAAATAGAAACTGGTGCATATAAAAATGTATGTAAGAAAGGAAAAACTATTCAAAACATTGATTTACCTTTGAGTGAAATATCAACTGGAAGTATGAATATAAATCCATTAAAATTGAGAGATGTGGATAATTTACTAAAAAAACATTATGGTGACAAATGGCAAGCATTAGATTTTCTTAGATTTTACAAAGATAATATCTTCAAACAACTTCAAGAACCAATATTAGCTGATGAAGAATATTATAATACTATGTGCCATGATGAAAACATGTGTGAAACTGATTAAAACCTGATAATTTAAAAATGTATACCTGATAATTAAATAAGACCTGCTAAATTAAGACTGGGAAAAATGAATAATGTGATATTATGATATACAGTAGACGCCGCTTATATAAGACTCACGGATATAAGGTTCAGTCGCTTATTAGACTCAAAATCGTCTGGAACGGTCCGGACGTATCCAAATACATAAAAAAAAAAATCGGTTTTAAGACTCAACACTTCGATTATAAGACTCAAATTTCGTAAAATAAATAGTAGAAAATAAACTTTTTTGGTTATATAATTTAGAAATAAATTGGTTTTAAAAAATGAAATAATATTCGTGTTGATTATTTCTATTTTCTGTTGGTACCTTATAATTATAACGTATAATAATTTTTATCGCAGATAAAAGTTCACATTTATCGCAACGATAATTATAACGATTATAATTTTAGTTTTTTTTATCGGGATTATTAAATTTATTCAATAATAAAGTATGTAATATGTAGTAATATGTGTTAATGTATTAAAATCAAAGCAAAACATGTAGTAAAATAAAATTTATAAATACGTAATTAATTTTTTTTTTTACTTCGCCTATAAGATTCATTCGGTTATAAGACTCACTTTGTGCTGATCCCAAAGTGAGTCTTATAAGCGGCCTCTACTGTAATATTAAACTAAAAAACTGTTTTTATGTTTTACACAAATAATTTTTAATATTGTATAAGGTACAAAAAAAATATTTATTAGTTTTATTAGTTGTTGTTAATAAATTATACTAAAATATTATTTTTTTTTTTTAATATTGTCTAAGGTAAGACAGAATATTAAATACTTTTATTACTTGTTGTTAATCAATTATAATTAAATATATTTTTTTAATATTGTCTAAGGTATGACTAAATATTATAAAGTACTTTTATTAGTTGTTGTTAAAAATTTTAAATAAAATAAAGTTTGTCTAAAGTAAGACATAAATAATTTATTGATATTTTGATTTTACAAAAGTTTTCAATGTTAGTTTCAAAACCACCTATATCGCAAAGTGAATTTCAAAACCAGCCATGTATACAAAAATCGAAAAAATTTTGGCTTCAAAACCAGCCATATGATGAAGTTTGCATCAAAACCAGCTATATCGATACTATAAATGTACATAACTCTTGTAATAATATTTTTATAAAACACATATTTATACACAATATTGTATACATTCAAACATATAATTTAATATTTATTACAAAATCATAGAGTCAAATTTGAATGTCTTCTACGTTTTTTGTTGTTCTTGAAAAATTTAAAAAAATTGTTTTGGTTGGTTTTGAAACTACTTGCCTCATATATATATCAATGTGCCGTCGGCAACCGTGTCTAAAAGCTGACAAATCGCCACGGTCGCCGGTCGGAACGGGTCCGGTTGTCGTGCTCTCGTGGATGACAATAAAACAGCCCTGACACATTCATTTATCATAATATTAATAATATTATATTGGATTTAGTACAAAAAAATCTGTTATTTAACATAAGTAATATCATGGAATTAAGTTTAAAATCTAACAACCTCCAAACTCTCAATCATATTGACTTATAGAAAAATTCTCAACAAACTATACGCAAATCCAAATTGAAATTAAAATTCAATTGTTAATTTAAGTTTTAATAGACAATATTTTAATATCTCCAATTGAATATCATATTATCATAGAATATCTTTGTATAGTAGAAATAATAATAGTTATTATATTTATAACTGTGAGTCATTTTACATTTATATTGTCTATATTAATATTTCGAAAAGATTTAATTACCTTGTCCACACGTATTACACATTGTTTATTAATTGGTAGCCATCACTTTAATTTTTTAATTTTTTTTTTAGTAATTGCTTATCTTTGTCACCTTGATTTGAAATACTTCAGTTTGTGTGTTTGAAGATTAAATCTCAATTTCTTTCCAATTCACTATATATCAGGTAAAATAATGAAATTATAACTTATAGTTCTTCTTCTATCTTTTATTGGACCATTTAGCATTCCAGTTAAAAATGTTTTTTTTAAAACACTGATTAATTCTTTACCAAATTTATCTTGAGTAGCTACATTTTTGAACGAGTATACCATTCATTAATTAACTCACTAATATCGTTATGTAAATTATAGAATTCTTCCTGTTACCTGAATACTGATACCGTGAAAATAAAATATTGGACTAATATATTGCATAAATATTCGTAAGATTATTTAAGTGGAAGATGTGGATCCCACAAATCTCTTAACATTTTATAAGTTGTCTCACCCAAACACATGATTAATAATAGAACTTTTCAGTCTTCGGGAACCACACTGATTAAAAAATACTGCTTCATATGTTTACAATATACAAACCAATCATCATTAATTTGAAGCTTAACTAACAAGCCTATGGTTCCGAAATAACGTATCTCGTTGTAAAAGTCCAGTTTTGCGTCTTGCATATTTGTATCAGACTTAAGTGGAATTTTAAATCTTTTAAAATATTTGTCGCTAATATGGAATGACTTTGAATAAGAATATATTTAATATTTTAATGCTAAAAATTAATTGAAATGTACATAAGATATTTTTTTAGCTATATAAAAAATCTAAAGTTAGTAAATTAAATAAAAATGTTTGTACTAAAAAATCAAGATCATAAACATATGCGCAGGATATGCAATATATTATGCATAATAAAATATCAAAATATGCACTTAAATAAATGGTTACTTTTAATTAAAAAAGACATATTTATACTTTTATTAAAAAAAAAATATATCTTTCACTAACTATATTACTGAATGGGATGTGTTTCATACTTGGATTTGCTTGACATTCAGCATTGATTAATAATAATCATTGCCTTATCGGTATTATTGCAGACGAATTCATCAGATAAAATTAATTATAATTAACAATGTATTATGCATTGTGTATTGTATTCACACGTTGGTTTTGTAAATAATATTTTTTTAACGCGTCAAAAAGGAAAATTTTACATTGATAATTTTAATTTTACTTATTAATCAAATTAAAAAATGTATAAATAGGAACCTACATGGAATATGCAATACGCACGCGAAGAAAAATACTTAAAATGCACGATAAAAATTTTTGAATTTGAAATCCTTATATCAATAGACAAAATATATGTATTATGTATCGAAACCGATTTCTGCTATCCATTTCCCGAACAAATATGCAAGTGCATAGCGAGCCCCGGCCCTGGTTATAACTAATAAACTAGGTCTTAGGTACTTGCCAAAAATTGTATTCGTATAAATCGAAATAGGTAGGTACTTTGAATCACAGAATAATGTTGGTTATGCTCTGGAGCAAAACATTAGAAACGTATACCACCGGCTGTCACTCAAGTCAATTCAAATGAGTAGATACCTCTGAACAATAATTTGGCGATAAAAAATATTAATGTCATCTGAAATAATAAGTCTTAGGTACCAACCGCTACGATAAACGGATCGCCCCGTATACACGTAGGCAAGTAGGTTTAACAAAAACATTATAATATCGTGTACCAAGAGCCGGTCAACAAACGATTATCGATAAATTTTCGCCACTCATTACCAGAAAAGGCGAACGCCAGACATCACGATTATACGTTTACGCGAAACGTCATTTGTCGGCGTACCTACATATCTATTTTTCACCTCCACCGTTCGTCGACAGCGGCATCGCGCGTGCGCGTCAAATCACGCAAACATAATGTCTCGTGTACACACACACACACACTGACACATCATATACACGCGCGTCATTACCTCCGCGGTACGTCTGTTCCATTAATATTATTATTATTATTATTGTTATTATTATTATTATTATTATTATTATTCACTTATCTTCTACAGACAGACTGTAATTGAGTGTGGCCCGGCTGCTGTGAGTTGTATTTTTTTTTTTTCACCTACTCCTGCTCTACCGAACGTAGACTACAACGACTACTTGTCATTACTTCTACGACCAACCGTCGACACTACCACTACTACTACTATTACCACTAAATATTATTATAATAGATAAAATTTAATAAAATATATATTATTGCATTATATTTCCACTACCGACCACCGTGCACGCGTGTCGCGAAAGGATAACGTCGGACGAGAAATCATAATAATTTAATCGACGATTCCGTTTCGTTTTTATTTTATTTTTTTTTTGTTGTTTTTTTTTTTTTTGCCGGCGATCGGGGAAATTGTCATTGTTGCTAAATGTCGCGTATTTATTGTTTTATCAAAAGTCACGATATCACCGCACCGTCGTCTTGCCTGTCGCAGTCCTCAGTCCTCGCAATCCGATTGCCGTCCGAAACGCTAACGTATTCGATCGAATATCACGGACAATAGTGCAGTTTTCGTTCCTATCCGACGTCGTCGTACTGTCTGTTTGGCGTGCCGATCGCGAATACTATGCTAATACAGACGTCTGTGGAAGCCACAGTTCACAGCGGTAGCGTCGTCCACTGTCGGCGACGGAAACGCGCGTTTTTCGCGTCGTCGTAAACTCGTCTTCTCACCGCCGTATAGAGTACGACACAGTTCGCCTTCGAGTCTGCTGAGAGAGTCTGCCGTCTTCGTGTATGCGTACCTACCGACCGTGCTCAGCAGCAACATAACATATCAAATGGTTTTTCGATATCATGGTACGCAGCCATGGTGGTGCTACAATACGTCGCGATCTGTCACAAACGCTCGCCACAGCAGTGCCACTGGCACCACCAGCACTATTAGCGCCGACATTGAACCGCTGTCGTCGTCCTTATAATAGTTGTGGTGGCAATAACCATGACACGAGATTCGGCGGCGGTCGCCGCTTTAGACGACCGCCGCCGCCGCTGTCCTATATCGGCGGCATCCAACGTAGTGGACGATGCCTCGATACTGATGACAAACAGTATCACTAGGAGTGGCTCTAGTAGCAATGACGACGTTGGTGGTGGTGATGAAGGTGGCAGCCTCAAGTCATCGTCTGAAGTATCAACGACGACTAGCTGCTGTGGTGGTAGCAGCAGTAGCAGCAGCAGAAGTGGTAGTGATGATGACGACTCTGCCACTGTTACCAGGTTGTCTACAGCTAATGAAGACAGTTGTTCTGCAACCATCAAAACCCCAATAGTACTGCAATCATTACACAAACAAATAGAAGACGATAATGTTGGTGGTAAAGATTCTTCTAGCAGCAGTCGTAGTGATGAAGCAGCTGCGCCCATTACCCCGACAAAAATTGGAGGACGTCTCACGTTTTATAAAGGTAATTTATTTAATGTACATATTTTTTTCATACTAATCAATGTTCTATTAAATAATACATCAATATAGATACTTACTGTCAGTATTATTCCTATTTGATACAATTGATAGGTATATGATTTATATTTGCTTAGTTTACATTATTTATTAAACAAAAGTTATAGATTTATGGGTATAGTAGGTATAGTGGGTATAAGTACATATACTTAAGTGCATAGGTAACTATTTTCATTATTTTATGTTATAATATAATTGATTAATTTGCATTGTTCAATATCTAAACACATTAACATTATTTGTTTACTAATTGTTACACAAAGTTTCTATAGTAAAAAAAAAAAAAAAAAAACATTATTTGAAATGAATTGTTAAATTAATTTGAGTTTATATCATAGTTGGCACCTACTGCATAAAAAAAATCTCATTTATAATACTATGTAGGTACCTAATACCTGTATAATAATATAAAATAGTTTCCATTTAAATTGCTGTTTGGTAATACCTAGTTATTGCATACATTTATGATTATAATTGATAAATAACAATTTTATAAAATATTAGTGTTTTCATTTTAGGCATAAGTAGTTACTAATCATTCAATTTTATTTTAGTAATCTAATAATTTAAGAATTGGTATTACATTTGTTCCATCTAGTATGAAAAAAATCATAGATAATACACTTCTTCAAAACATTTTTATTTTATTAAATTATTAGTAACTACTGATAAAATGTATAATCTCAGTAATCCAGTTATTAAATAATGTGAAACATTCATTAATCTGCAGTTAATTTAATGCCAAGTGGATATAAAAAATGTAAAGAGTATTTTAATATGTAATTATGTAAAGGTACCTAATATATGTATAATGTTGTACAAAATTATCATCATTAACATTTTCATGAACTTTGATATCCTATCAAATAACATCTACATAATTTGTTTTAATAATTTAATAACATTTCATGATATGAAAGTGTTAGCTATATTATTTAAACTAAATGGATATTTATTTAGTTAATTTTATAGTTTTTAGATACCAATCAGGTGTTAATTTAATAAAAATCAATTTTAATGATATTATTTATACTATAATTATTTATTGTTATAACTGAATACAATTAGATGTTACACATAAATTATTAATAAATTAACAAATATTATCTATAATTTTCAATTTTCACATTACTTATAATTTGAAATCAGAATTTTATGCATTTGCATGTTTATATTTAGTATATGCATTATGCACTTATACGAGGGTTTGAAATGAAGGTGATTCAGATCCAACTGATTCCATAGATAAAATTTAATTTTGCATATTTGGAAGGTTAGGGCATATTTTTTACAATATTAGTAAATAATAAATTATTTCATGTTTTTATTTTGGAAATTGTAATTTTTAAATTACTGCCATACTGGTGAAAAAAATTACTGTCAACACAGTATACAATTTTATCTTCTCTAGTTTGAGACCGTGTTGATAAACTATTATCTGACAAATTTAATGTTATATTTTATTTAATTAAACTGTTTTAAAAATATATAATACCTAATGTTTTTTATATTTAAATATTTTGTTGATATACTTAGATGTTGAAAGATCCAACACTCCTATTTTGTTATATTTATTTGTTTTATTTGTTCTAATGTTTGTAGTTATTTAAAATTATATAATTTTATGATACATATTTGTGCATGTTAATGCATCATATTTACCACATTATTAGTACATATAATTCTTGTTTATTTATAAGTTATATGCAATTTTTGTTATAATCTTATAAAGTAGGTCATTTTTGTTAAATTAATAAAAATAATACATAACAATGAGGTCTTACAATGTTTTTATTATCTTGTTCAAAGTATGTAAAAAATTTTTCTTCAGTATCTTAAAGTTTTTGATTTTTAAGTATAAAAGAATATTCTTAGTACTTTAGTAGTAGTCTTTAATCCTGACTTCTGTAAATAGTATTCATTCTGTCAATTATAATGTTATAGTTTTTAAAAAGTTAACATATCTACTGAAAAATCAATTAAAACATTATACATATTATTATCAATATATGTTGAAAAAAAAATGAGAACCTAAATGTGTATAATAAAAATAATACAACTATGTTTCTAACTTCAATTTTTTGATTTAGTTAATATAAAATTTGAAATTTTAATTTTAATAGTTTATTTTAACTACATATAATTTTGTTATTGTATCAAAATTATGTCTAAAAGATTTGTATCACAAACTGTAAAAAAAAAAAAAATGTATTAGTAAAATTGCATTACACTTTATAATATTATCATACACGCTATCAAATATTAACCATAAATACGACTAAGTCTTGTGTAGATGTAAATGCAACAAAATAGACAAGTTTTTTATGTTAATATTTTATATTTGATCTTGTTAAATAAAAATTTGTATTCTCAAATATTTTGAACAAATAAGATAAATTAAAACTACCAATATTTAGGTTGATTATGTAAGTTACCTTCAACTTCAAACTGAAAGTGTAGGGTCATAATATTTAATTAAAATACAATTAATTTCACATTCTAAAAATTGCATGTATAAATAATTTAAATTAAGTTGGGATATATTTATATAAAATTATAGTCTAAATTTAAAAAAAAACTTAACGTATTAAACTTATTATATATTATTTTGATATTTAGTTAACATATTTAAAATTTATAAAAAAAATGTTTATAGGTCTACTTTATGGTATTTTCCAAAATTAGTTAACTTTATTTTTGAAATTTTAAAAATTCAATAAAAGAGAACCCACTTTTATTACTATTACATATTTACTATGTAAATATGTATTACTTCAAGGTTTTCAATATAAATTTATTAAATTAAGTTTAATGTGTTGGTATATATTTTGTAAAACAAAAAAAAAAAATGTATTTTAATGATGAATGCAATAGTTAGTTTTTAATATTGCAATAATTCAATATTATATAAATTAAATATTTACATATGTATGTATATAAAATTTTTGGTATAATTTTTATAGATGGAAAATTTATATTCCAACTAGCGGCCCATCATCAACAAAATTCATACAACAATCCGTCTGCTTTAACATCTCCATGTCGTTGGGTACCAGTTCCAACAGTGATACAGCAACATAAAAATAATGTCAAATGCATAGGCGAGTGGTCACAAAATCAGCAAAATAAAACAATATGGCCTTACTTAGTTAACAATACTGCCTCTGACAGTAAGTCACCTCAACCGATACAGCAATCACAACCACCAACGGTTAGAATTGGTGAGCGGAAGCAACAACAATTTCAACATAGGACGACGCCCCCGCCACTTTCTCTCATTACCGGTGCTGTTAATACAGCTGGTGGAATTGTAGTTGCAACGACGACGAATATCATGCGAAGACCTTCCAGAAAGTGTTCAACAACTGTAGCAGCAGACAATGTTACCGATTTTCAACATAAACACTACCAACCACCCACACAATCACGAGGTTTACCGAGACGTTCACAGCAACATCAACATCAGGCGTTTATGATGATCGCCACCGAGGCAATAAAGGTTCAGAGGCGTTTATTGTCATTACCAAAAAAGCAACGTCTCTGGTGTCAAAGAAAGAGGAAATCTTTGACTAAAAATGCCATGATACAAGAACTTAAGCCTCCGAAAATAAATTTAGAATGTGTTGTACGAAACCTGTGGTGTCGGCGACATACAACGGAATTATTGTTGCGTAGGCAGCTCTCAATCAACAATAGTGGAGATACTGTTGCTGCTGGTATTTCTACTGTCGTCGATGTTCCCCCTGTTGTTTCTCGTCACGTATCCGTTTCTTCGGCAAGCGTTGTCGATTCCATGTGTTCTAATATGGGAAGTAGCAAGCGGCGATCGATGGTTTCTCCATCTCTCACCACTGCCACCCCAATTCCTGTCACTGCCACTACAATAAACCTTAGTAATAAGAGTGGCAATAGTAGCCCTCATAAAAAATATAAATTGGGACACCAACAGTCGCCAGAACAGTTATTACTACCGCAACGACGGTTAGCAGTTGATAAAAATGTGAAAAATGCTATTCCACAACCTCCGCCGCAAGCTATGTCCACCAACGATCACAGCATAACTGCAATATTGTCTGGTGGTGCGGCGGGAGCAAAACGCTCTAACGGTAGCGGTGCCCTTTCAATGGTAATGGATCCAGAAAATTGTGTCATTACCACACCTACTTCTACAAGTACAATATTGTCACCACATAAACACCTTAATACACCATCATCTGCACCACTATCCTTATTGCGTACATTGCTGAAGAGTCCCAGTAGTGAAAGTGGTTCACCGCCCATTGCTGCTAGTACAAATGGTGTTGGATACAGGCATCATACAAATGGCAGTAGAAAAAGGTCATCAGTCGAATCTACGGTTTTATCATTACCATCTATGAATGCAACTGCCGTCAATGTTGAAAATGGTCTAGGAACGTCGGCAATGGGAATACCACCAGTTGGTACTAATGCAGCTGATAATGCTTCTGCTGTTTTAACTGCTCTTCATCAACTTCCAACTATTCACCACCCGGCTGCTGGACAATTAGCCGCTGCTGGTTACTTTAATGTATTATACCACCAAGCGGCAATGGCTGCTGCTATGGCGTATCAAACCCACGCACAATTGCCTCAACCGTTGCCTAAATCGCAACCACCGCCCTTATTGTCTTCACAATTTTCCACGACCAGTGGTGCGACTAGTACTTGGCAACGTCAACTGAACCGGCGGCCACCTCTTCTACATCCGCCAGAAGCAATTGTTGGAAGCGGAGTTACTAACGCCACCATCTCTTCATCTGCATCGACGGTCGTAGCTCCTTACTCTTCACCTTTGATAGCTGCCACAGTCAATGGCAGTAGTTTATTGCCACCTGCTACTCCGTCGCCGCCTCCTTCTTTAATGTTACATCCTCATCCTGTTCACCCCCACCATTTATTGTTACACCATCAGCAGCAGTATCAACCAATGCCTACGGTACAACAACAATCATCGTTCCATCGACAACAGGGTAGTAGCGTCAAAAAAAGAACTGGAGTAGCGATAGGTGTTACCGAGTATAGCGGTTGTATAGCAAAAAATAACACTAGAGATGTAGCTACCCTAGATGAAGAGTCATCTTCTTCCGCCGGTAAGTGTACCAATAATTATGATACCTACTTATATTACATGATAATTATTTATCATAGTGTAATAATTTCAGTCTGACTGTAACTTTTGTTATTTTGTTTGTAAAATTACCATTTATACTTTAATAGTTAGTGTAAAATAATTAAAAACTCGAGTCATCTGAACTTGTAAGGAAAATTTTCTAAAATAACGTTTCTAACTAAAGATTTCCCAATGTTTAACTATCAGCATAACTGCACATTATTATTGTTATACATTTAGTTTCTGTCTTGTGCTCGAATATTGTCCTACATATTAATTTACTTTAGTATACTTATTATGAATTACGTTATTTTTTAATAATTGAATAAATACTATTACATCTAATAACTTTTAGACATATCATGGCTAAATAGTCACTTTTCATTTTCGTTTAGTCAAAAGGTTCTTATAATTGTTATATAGCCATATAATATATTTTCTGTTGACTAATCCAATAACTGCCAAGTAAATATTAGAATTTTATTGAATGGATTTGAATATTGAGATTACTGATGTATGATCATCTGTCTATACCAGTGGCGTATTTTGGTGGGGTGTCATTGCGTAAGAACATCCTCCCTCAATTAAAAAAATTTCTTTATGTACTATCATTAAGCCTATCACAATATTTATATTCTTACTGTAAAAATGGAATTAATTTTATTAAATCCGACGAAACGTATCTAGGTATATTTTTAAGAAAAGTTAACAATTTATCTGAAATAACCAAAAATTATTCAAGTATTTCCGGGTCATTAAACCATAATTATCCAAATTATTCCTCGAAAAATCATCCAAAATACGTCACTAGTCAGTACATTTGATTTCTGATATCTAAGTTACCAATTTTTGTAAAAATGGCAATCTTCTTCAGGTCATATAGTAATTATCTTTTAATAACAAAATAGTTTAAAAAAATCCTAATTATTTATTGTGTTTCGCTGTTTTTTGTAAAACATCATTAAATTTTAAATCATCTGATTTTCGTGTTAGCGATTAGATTTTTCTTAACTATTAAAATATGCGTTCTTGCATGCTTAATCGGACCAACGAAAGAAGTTTGATAAATACAAACTCAACTGTTTTTTTACCGAAAAAAGGAACACTATCAACTATTCAAAATATTTGTTAACAACACAAAGAGGCGTTCACACTTGTTTTTATCTCTATTAGAATTAATTTGAAATTGCTTTCTCTCTCGCTCAATTTTTACTTAATAAGTATGTATTCATTTTTTTCTTAGTAATATCGAATTTATTTCTATTTTATACTGTAAATATTTTTTTATAGTCAATAAGTTCCTATTAAAATGTAGGTAACAAAACATCCACTTTTTCAGGTGCATCTAATTTTTGTTTAAATAAATTATTTTTCTTTTAATTTGTTTTCATTGTATACCACGTTATACCGTATTTTTATTAATTTCCTAGCTTGGAGTAATAAATTGCACTATTTTCCGGATAGAAATCTAAATTAAAGTGATTTTACTCAAGGTGGATCTTTGAAACTAAATCAATGCTTATATCCTCTTCCATTATTCAAAATGTGGGTCATATTTTACAGCTTCACGCTTATATCTTTTGATTCATCTAGTAATCTAATTAAGGTAGTTTACCAAATAATCAATATATCACACAAACATTTGAATTCTGTACTTATCAGCTATTGTCTTACTACCATTCTGTCAGTACTACAAACTTCCATCATTTATTTTATGTGGTAACTTAAACATTAGTGAAGTTTACTACTATCAATTATTTTTTATATTTTTCCCAGCCCTTATTTGTTTTAATTTAATTTAGGCAGAAGCAATAATCACCTTATTTATATTAAAAGAAAATCTATATTCTTAAAGTCGAACGTCATAAAAGTATATTACTATGCTATAATTGTTATTTATAGATTGAATAAAAAAATATTTTAGTTATAATAGTTTTATTTTCAAAACACATTGTCAGTATTTCAGTTTAAAGTAATTTAGACAGTCGCATAATTTAATATTATAAATGTAATTATGATGTATTTGGATTCTCTGAAACATACTACAAACATTTTTAACTACAATTTAAACTCATAAATTTTTACGAAATACTATAATTCTAAAAAGTAAATCCTATATAATCTTACAAAAAAAAAAAAAAATGTTTTGAATAAATTAAAATTAACCCTTATGCTTGTTGTTTATAAGTATTATCATAGTTTTATAGACATTTGATATTTTTTCTTTTACTCTTAGATTGTATGCCGCTCAACCTATCCAAGGATTCTATAGCTGAAAACGTCAGTGGTACTAGTCCAACGGCGAGAGTCAGGTGACACTCGAGCGAAAATTACTACAATAGACTAGCTATTAGCATTAGACTGTTTGGCCATTTCTTAAAGGCTAACTGAGTATACTATTTCATTATCGTGTCAAATACCATATGTACTGAATATGCGAAAATGTATGTATGAATATTAAAAGAAAAAAACAATAATATTTTATTTTGTAAATATATATTCATACATACATAAATACATACATACATATATATTATGTAAAATGATAATAATATATATATATATATAATCGTTTATTCAAATGTCGCGTCTTATTGTTTTATTATTTTTGTAAATAGACATAAAACAAAAAGAAAAGTCGCATGTGCGTGTAGTCATAAGAAAATTATTTGTTACAATAAAAAAAAAAAACAATCAATTATACAATAGTTGTTTTCATTTAAATCGTAACTATACTAAAATAAGCTAAAACTATGGCTGCTAGATTGCTAATATCGTATGTAAAAATATGACCTTAAAAACTACAAATATTTTTATTATTTTTATTACAACATATAGTCAATATCGAAGTAATAATCATATTATGTATTTTAAATTATAGTAAAATACTCAGTGTAGCCAAAAAAATAAAAATAAAAATAGAAATCACCTAATTAATTAAAAACGTTACAAGTATTATGTAATAATAAAGTTCGATAATCATAGTGTGTGTAATAATAAAATAATAGTAAAAAAAAAAAAAAAAAAGTAATAATAATAGTAATAAAAATAATTTTAGCATATTTAGGTTTAACCTATAAAAAGGATTCGGATTAAAATTATTATGATTATTGTTAATGTATAAAAATAAAATAGTACGATGATGAAAAAAATTGAAATTCTAAATTATCGACCAGACAGCTGGTGGTGTTCGCCACCAACAGTACCCAAGTCCACACAAAACCGTGGTACTTAGTGATGACTACTACCACCGCCACTGGAACGTGACGGCATTGTGAGCGCGCTACTAATACATGGCGCTACTATCGGCGCTGCCGACTGATTAGTTATGGTGGACGGTTGTCTATTGCTACTGCTGGCGCCACCACCGGTGGTAGACATATCAAACGGTACAGCTGATCCTATCGATGACGGATTTGTGGATGTATTACTGGTTTGCGGAGCCGGTGATCCCGTAGGCCCAGCTGTTCCCAATGGCGTAGCCGACGACGGCGGAGGAGCGGATGGCATTGTAAACGATATGCCAAGAAGCGCGGCGATCGGCTGCCATGGCTTGCGTGCTGACCGCCTTAGTTCCTTACCAGTCATCCTGGCTTTACGTAAAGATCTGCACACAATAATAATAACACTCGATTATATTAAATTAACGCAAAAAAATAGGATAAAAAGTGAACAATCAACGTTTGGACTATACCGCACGCGTGTGCGGCGAGGACAGAGGTCGTAACAGTTATCGTACCTAGACAATGTGGTACATCTATAGTACAGGTCGTCAGGAGCGTCCGTCCACGATATGACATGCTTTCTACCGGTTCGAGCCATTGACGGTGTCCTGTAATGATTGTGCTGCTGATGCTGCTGTTGTTGAGACTGGTGGTGGCCTGCCGAGCCACCGGATTTACCAGCACTTCCAGTGGCAGTCAATTGTAAAGGTCCTCCGCTCGACGTACCGCCTCGCTGTTGTTGCTGCTGTTGTTGATGTGCCACAATTGATGCCAGCATTCCGTCTACGGCACCACCACCGGCTCCACTACCTCCCTGTGACGTTGATGTAGGTTGTTGGTGCTGTTGGCTGTGGTGATGGTGACCGGTAGATTGCTGTTGTTGCTGCTGCTGTTGTGAGTGATGTTGCTGCCGATGCATACGTTTTGATGGTGGTCCAGCTTGTGGTTGTGGTTGCTGTTGTATAGATGCTGCACGAAAAAAAAAAATTCATTATTATGATATAGTAATGTCCATACAAATAGTCTCCTTCCTATTTTGAAATGTGCATGTATAATAAAATATGATCTGTCCTTAGAAATTCCAGTAATAAATCGTATTAGATCGTATTATCATGAACAATATTTTTGACGATATTCAAATGCAGAATGTTTGGATAAGTACGTTTTTTACCTTTCTTTAATTCAATAGACAATTTATGTACTACAATAGTCTCTCATTAATCCGAACAGACTTGAAAATTGCCACATCTAAACGCCAATTACTAATACGTATACGAAAACACGCAGGTGTATAATAATACTAAGTAAGGTATGTTTATATTAACTGGCTGTATACACATAATTATAATGTTTTGGTTGTATTTGTTGTGTTTTTCAACAATGAATTATTACGAATAGAGTACAATATAGATAAAAATAAATTTCAAAATTTAAACGCAAGGAAATTAAATTTTTTAGTCATAGGTAATCCGAACAACTAGGAGATCCAAATGATCCCTTTCTCTAATCTCGTTCAGATTAATGAAACCCTACTGTAATTATAATTAACTAATTGAATCAAACAGAAATCACAAAAACATATCATCACCGAGTAAGATAATACTGGTGTACTTAATCTTAGGATGCTCACCACTATCTGTTTCATATAACCGCCTTTTATTGCTTGACGACGAAGAGCCTTGTTGTAGTTGTTGTTGCTGTTGCTGTTGTTGGTAGAGAGCAGCAGCCGCAGCTGCTACGTCAAACCCCGAAGCCGATTGATCATTTGATGAACCAGAGGCCCCTGCAGAATTACCACTATTAGCCGATCCAGGAGGGCCCAAAGCTCCAAGTATAGCGGCTGCTGCAGCCGGATTCAGTCCAACTGCTGCAGCAGCTGCTGCTGCTGCTGCAGCTGCAGATGCAGATGGGTTGCTTAATGCGGAAGCAGCAGCTGCCGCTGCTGCGGCAGCTTCTTGTTTATTTGGCACTCGTTCATAAAGCAAACTTCCATCTACAATTATACAACAGCATATATTATTAAAACAGAGCTATAAAGATAAATATTGTTTAAATTATTTTTTGAAATAAAATGTCTATATAAAATACTCTAATACTACAATAGAAGGGGTTAAATAAGTAATCATTGTTAATTAATAAAAATACTGATGAGTTATTAGTTTATTTTTTTCATTTTAACAATATATCATAAGACATTAACTATAAAAAAAATGCATATAATTTAAAATCAAAAAGCCATAAAATTGCAGTTATATTAAGTATAAATGTTAACAATATACATATATTTAATCTTGTTTTCTTAATATATATATGATACTGATATTAAATCAATAGTATGTGATAATATTTTAGAATTATTTTTATTCAACCATAAACAGCTCTTAAAGATTAACAATATTATATTATTCAGTGACTTTTTTTTAAAACGATACTAAGTATATATAATATTATGTTAATATGAACAATTGTATAAAATCTCGTTTGTTTTTCAAAAACCTTTAAAACATCAATCATATTCAACAATTTAAAAAAGAAAAAAAAATGAAAAAATGAATTTAAATAAAATTAACTGCCTAAAATATTTGTTTTAAATTTGAATAGCTGATAAATATCATCGACTAATATACACTAATCTCATTTTTAATCAAATTAATAATTTAATAGGTAATATTGTGTTAAATGATTATAACAAAATACTAAATAGTACATATAAAAAAGTCTCAAACTTATTTAATTTTATATTGTTCTATGTTTTTTAAATACAAAAACATTTAATTGTTTAATCTAGTCTACTCATTTGTAAGCCAGCAAAAAGTATAAAAGAAACTAAATAAATTAAACAAACAAGTTATACATTTTTAAAAATGTCGACACTTCTAAAAACAGCTACTTATTTCAATAATTATTAGATGTAATATCATCATAAACTAACTTAACATATCAAGAGGAACCTAATATTTTTAACACAAAAAAAAAAAATCCATAGAAAAAAGATTAAAAAAATAATATATTAATTTATTTATCTAGTAACTAGTTAAATTATTATAAAAATATAACATTCTCAATAAAATATATTGTGTCCTGCCTAACATGTATACGAATAAAGTATTGCATTTTCAAATGAGTTAATATTATTATCAACCTAGCAATAAAAATTAAATGTATCCTGGTTACTTAGTGCACATTAGAGTACTCCTAAAATATGATGACCAACTTTTTAGAAATAATAATTTTGTATAACCTCTTCTGTCACTAATTTTAAACAAATATAATATGAAGTTTAGAAAGAAAAATGGATAGAAATTAAAAAAATTAATTAAATCATCAATTTTAATTCAACTTATTAGACATCCTAAACTGTCTTTAATTGAAATTATCTATATAAATTAACATTTGAAAGAAAAAACTGAACAATTGTATTATTGTATTATATATATATTATTCCTATCAATAAATATTTTATGTTGTGCATTTCAGTTTTTATTATCTTACATTTAAAGAAGAAAACAATTTATGATTTTGATTATTCATCTATACAATTTTGAAATTGTTTCAAAATGATAATTAATCATTTCTTCACTTTCATGAGTTAACTTTAATTTACTTATACTTAAAATATTCAATAACAAGCGTTAATTGATTGATATTAATTTTGAATCTATTACAATCAAAAAAATTGAAACAGATATTTTTTCTTTAAAAAGCTACACAATGTATAATATGTTTATAATTGTTAGTTAATATATTATAAGCGACAGAGTTAACACTGACCAGGTGCCTTTGGTGGCTTGGGAAATGCAACGCGTCCACCCGTTGATGATCTTGAAGAATGTTTGCCATGTTTTGATGAAGACGAAACATGATGATGAGAAGACTGATGCTGGTGCTGCTGAGATGGCAAAGAAAGCCAATCTGGCACAGCTATATCAGCAGCAATTGCTGAATTCATTCCACCACGGCCTCTCCTAGCAGCTATTAATGCATTAGCTACTCGAGTAACTCCAGGTCGGCGAGCATGTGCTTTTACTGTTGCAGCTCTCAAGTATGCTCTTAGTTCATGGACTGGAGCATGTTGCATTGACAACATGCCTGTAAGATAACATATTCCAAATTACATATACATATACCAATGTGCCCTAGTATAGAAGTATTTCAATCTAAAATACTGTCTAAAAATATATAGTAAAAATAAAATATGTTGATGTATTGTGGAATAGACTGCAAGACTGATAGGACATATGATATTAAATTTAATAATAATATATTGTTTTAAAAAAACAGTCATATTCCCTAAATTACCTCTCTAAATTACCATCCATAAACCCTTTGATTGCATATATTTAAACATTTTACCATAAAAATAAAATAGGTTTGAAAAAAAAAAGAGAAAATAGCTAGTAACCACAATGCTGTACAATAGGTATTAAGTGAACTTTATCATTGAAAAGTAAAATACTGAAATTAAGGTGTTGAATTTTAATTTAACGAGAAGTCATTGCATGCAAAAAATGATTCTAAATGAAAACAACCAGATTGTTAGCCTAAATTACAAAGTATATTTTATATTACATTTATATTATTAATAAAGTAATTTATTTTAATATTAGTATTGCATTAAGTTGAATTTTTGAACGAAAACATTACATTGGAACATGTCATTGTTTATATAAAATACAATAATATATAATATGTTTAAATATCCAAAAACAATATTTTCAAATTACAAAAAATAGTTAAAATTATTATTCTTAGTTCAAATATCTATTAATGTTCATATTTGAACTTAAAATGCCTATACAAAAAAAAACCCATATTTAGACATCTTTGAGATTTTTTGATTACAATATGAACTACATATAAAAAACCTTTTATTAAGCTTTCAATTGTTTGTTAAAATATTGTTTCTGTATTCTTTAATTTTTTTTTTTTTTTTTTGAAAAGAAGTAAGAATTTTTTACTTTTAGCCTCCTAAAATTAAAAAAAAAACCCAACTTACTACCAGAAACCTTTAAAGTTAAAAATTGAAACATTTTTACTGCCCCAAAATGTGATGACAAGTAGAAAAACTAAAAAAAATGTATGCATTTAATTTAAAAATAAATTTAATACATAAATATTAAATACATAAATATTAAATAAATGAGTTATTATGCAATTCAGATAGACCTCATAAGTTTTTAACAAAGCATTGAAGTTACTCTACACTATCAATTAATAGACTAAGTAAGGCACATTTATAATATTAAACAACACTATAAATATCTTAATATATATACTCACATTCGTGTTTATAAGAGTGTGCTGTTTGTGGAATGCATACAAATGGTCTTCGAGCAACATTCCTAGGACGGGCAAGGCATCCAGGTTGTACCATAGCTGAAGTTATGGGGGATAACACTGATGCTGTTGATCCACTAGACGAAGCTTTTTTCTGATGGTGCTGTTGTTGTAATAGTGCAGCAGCTGCTTGTTGCGCAGCCCGACGCCTACTAGCTTTTGCCAATGATGTGCATCTCAAATAAAATGCTGTTCTTGTCTTCATAACCGGTCTACCGGTGGCAGTAGCTACTCCTCCTGCTCCAATAACTGTATTTGTTGTTATGCCTCCACCACTTGTAGATAGGTTGTTGGGCTGCTGTTGTGGCGAAGATGATGATGCAATGAGATTAATTACTTGATTGGCAGAACTACTACTAATGGAGTGTGAATTGCTGCTGTTCAAGTTTAAAGGTCCTCCGGAATTGTGGTGGAGAAGTCCTGCATTAGAAATGCTTTGCTGTGGCGGCTGTGGTGATAATTTTCCACTTCCACCACCATCAAGACCACCACTACCAGAAGATCTACTGCTACCACCAATTGACGTAATGATGGCACTAGAACTACTGCTGCTGTTAGAATTTATCCCGATGCCATGTGCAGTACTGTAATGCCGTAGCAACTGAGACTTGCTCTTGAATGGAGCAGCTTGGCATCCTATAATAGTGCACCTATGAGCAGTTGTTGTTGATCCAGACGAGTTAATATGTGGTTGATGTAATAATACACCACCACCACCAGGTGAAGATGCCGCCGATTGGTGGTGTTGTTGTTGTTGTTGTTGCTGTTGTTGTTGATGGTGAAGCTGTTGATGGTGGTGGTGTTGCGACTGATGATGATAACTACTATGATGACTACTTCCACTACCACCAAGGTGCATAAGGTGATGGTGATGATGGGGCGGAGTCGATATAGTGGATCCGTGTGATGAGGATCTTCCACCACTAGCTGATACATTCAGATTCATTGCTGCTGCTAAAGAACTAGATGACGCATTTGAGTGTGGACGATCTGTTTACAAAAATGACAAAAAAACTTGATTGAAATATAATTTACTATTCTGTATTAATATTTTATATTAATGAAATGTTTTTAATTAATTTTATTGACTTGTCACAAAAACATTCACAAATTATAAAACAAAAAATAATCGCAAACTTTCACAAGATATAATAAACATAAAATTCAAAGATAAAATGCAAAATAAAATTTAATTTATTTATTTTACAATAAAATTTTAATGAGGTCTCAGAAGTGGTTTTCATATCGAGTAAGCAATTCACCGAAAGATGGAAAAATTAACAAAAACAATGTACCTAAATATTTTGAATAAGAAAATTCAGCATCACTCATTTTGACCTCAATTATGCAAGGGCCATCATTGAGCTGCAAATCAAGCCTGAGAATTATAAATTCAATTTTTTTATTAATATACACGATCTTCATATCTTCTAATGACAACCACGTTAAAGGATTTAATATTGAAAATGTACCTGACATGTATTCTTAATACACATATAATATATTTAATGGTAAATTAAAGCAAATGGTGTTATTCACCACTAGATATTAAAAACACATGTGCAGAATATGTTAAGTATTAATACTTGTCGAGTACTCTTTTGAATTTTGATTCTTTATTCCTTGGTTACAGCTAAGAAGTGTTAAGCATAACTAAATAAGTCATTATTACTACCTTCGTCGCCAGACAAGCTCCCTCCTCTTGCTGCTGCAATAACTTTTTTATCAGAAGTAGCAGTTCTTGGACCTCCATATTTTTTCCAATGAGTCCAGCATTCATGGCATAATGATGATACTGAAGACAATCCTCCGTTTTGCTGATGATAAGATATTGAGCTTGTTCCGGTTGTGGTTCCTATGGTATTTGGATACCATTGTTGTGATGACACAGCTATATTTAATCATATAAATTATATAATAATTTATTTGGTAATAATTGTATGATAATATATATAAATAATAAAATATATTTATATATACACAGAAATATTTTCTATAAAGTTTCTTTCTTACCGTCACATAGATCACACAATCCAGGTTGTAATGGACCCTCCCCTGCTAAAGATAATCCACCGCTGTTTTTTGGAGAAAACAGTTCCACAGCTGAGTTACCATTTACGAGCTGCTGTTGCGATGATTTTAATGATACACCCGATGTAATAGCCTGCTGTTTTCCACCACTCATTGTTCCATTACTATGTATAAGAAAAAAAAATAGTCCAATGAAACTATTATTAGAGATAGGGCGCGCCTAATAGGAGGTAAGGGTTTTAAGGTTGAAGTCCCACCTAAAATATTTTCATATTAAACTTGAAATTATAGTAATGTATGTACAATACAATAATATTATGTATATAAAACAGAGACAACACATACTAGTGTGGTACTTAACACGTTGAAATTGATATATCAATAATATTATTAATCATTAATATGTAAAGGTTTTGACGACATACACTCCCTTAGACTACACATAAACTCAATATAATATAATAATACATCATAACAAATACTTACTAAGAAGGTATATACACTTGTTTCAACTTGGATTCTTGTTCTACGGCCTTAACCCGCTTCTGTTGCACATACCTATCTGTAGTCTTCCACATGTAATAGTACTCGACTATGTTTTTGTGCGTTTTCCATGGAAGCTGTAACACCATGTTCATAAAAAATTATTAATATTGATAACTCAAGTAAAAAAATAATAGAGTATACATTATTAAAAGTAATAACTACTGAAATGTAAACAGAGTAAATGAAATACTAACGAAATCATGACGTATGTCACCAAAGTCCTTTCCATACTTCTCCAACGCTTCCTCGAACAAATTTGCTTCAGAAGCAGACCATTCTTCCATTTCATCACGACATAATACAGGACCTGTACTAGGCACTAAGGAACAGGTGGCAGTACCCAGATCATAACCATGCCTATGTAGTGTGTCCATGGCATGAAACTATTATTTTAATAATAAAATACATGTATTGTTAATAATTTTTTAATAGACAATAGAACATTAACCAAGTTAAAATATAAATGACACTTTGATATAATATGAAAAACTCACCAATGTGATGTCTCGTGATGCAGCAGCTGCTGACATATGCAATGATGGCTGTTTCACTGAACTGGTACAATCTAAGGCACGAGCAAATGTGCCTAGTGATCGAGAAACGACCAAAAACTGATCTATCTGTCTATCAGTTAAACGATTCCACTGTGGCCTGCATGTCCATACCAAAGTTTCAAGTTCAGAATCACTTTCCATTGCCAATGCTGTTACTGTTCCTATTGTTGTCACTGTGGTCACTGCAGTAGAGGATTTTGCATCGACATCTTTATCATCACTCTCGTCATCGTCTCGACTACATTCTGTTACCATTGGCTCTTCTCCATTACCATCAGTAATGTTTTCTTCTTTAATTGTATCTCCTTTTACCGATGTTGCTGTTACATCTTTTGCATTTAAGTCACGGGTAAATAGTGCTTTTGGCGGCACCTCAGCCTGATATTTATGACCAACACGGATTTCTCCCTTATCGGCCAACAATGTCTTCTGGACAGGATCAAATACCAGACAATAGAAGAATGTATCCTGTTGGTTGTAAAAATAAATTTAATTATTTTAATAGGAAATACACAAAATTGTAAAATACTTGTGGAAGCTAAAAGATCGTTTGTAAAATAAAGATTGATATAAAGATGTTATGAATAATTCTATTTTCAAATTTTATAAAAAAAATATGATTTAACCAATACTTGATCCATAATGTATATCTTATTTTTTGTTTGATAACATAGTAAATGGTTAGTGACGTTTATAAAATTGAAACATAATACTACATTTTGTTAAAATTAATAATAATTAATTATAAATGGTGTTCATTTCAATTCTTCAGTTTATATAAATGATACAGAAAAGTTCTTAAAAAGCTAAATACCAGAAATCTATGACTAAAAATTGTACAATTTTTTATTATTTAATATTTATCAATCCATTAAAGGTTAGACAATATTTCTACAAGGCAAATGTGGTGTATTTCATATAAAATAATATTTATATTTATTTAATATTATGTACATTGATATTTTAAAATCTGTGCAGTATCAAATTTTCAATAAAAATTGTATTTGCATACCACTGAGAATATATAAGTATTTTGTTTTATAACTTTTTTACTGTTACATAATAATATTTGATTATATTAAAAATATTGTTATAACGGTGATACGCCAAATAATATCCCTACAATATAGTAATTACTAATTAATAATGTAATTTCATACGTGCACCAACTGTTTGTTACTCGGTAAATTATAAACAATTGATATGTATCAGTAACAATAATATTATTAATTGCATTTTTAATTTTAATGATATATATATATATATACACACACACAAAAATTTGAAAATATAAATACTATATTTTATGAGGTACCAAAAATTTAAAATCGTAGTATTTAATTTAATGTTTATAACAGAAATATTCATTACAATTTAAATTTGTTAATGAAAAAATTGATTTTAACTGTAAACAACCATGTATAAAATACTAAGTTATTAGCGTATAACATAACCTGAACCTAACAAATGTTTTTATTGATTGAACATTTCATCAATTAATTATATTATGATGTGTTTATATAAACATACTACTAAATTATAAATTTTTTGAGTATAGGATAACTAAAAAGTTGACAAGATATTAATAAACTAAATTTAATTATCATTACATTTTACAATCAATATCTTTTTCATTAATTTTATTTTAATGAAATAACTTATATTTTTAGTAAATTATCCAAGTATGTATGCATTAACATAGTAGGGATAATTGAGAGACAGCTGTCTCTAAGTTTTTAAGATATGGTAATGGCCTATAGATAATAGTTAAGAATTAACTAATATTTTAGTATTTACTACAATAAATAGTTAAAAATATGATGTAAGTGTCTTTATTAGTTTATGGATTGGCAGGATTGAGCAATAATAGACACTTTAAGATATAAATAAATTATTTTAATGTATTTATAATAATTTCTATATTATAATATTAATTATTGATTTCTTTTTTAATTATATTGTTTTTTTTTTTATATACAGTTTGATGTACTATATACCTGTACCATCATATTTAAAATTATATGTTATAACTTTTTTTTCAAATATTATGTAAATTGGAATTTTTTATTTCAATAATAAATGATTATTATAATTATCACGTTGACTGCCATGCGGCCACAAAAATATTTATCATGAGTACGCCAAGGACATTTTTCAGTGTCATTATAAATTTGTAATTAAACTATTGAATTTGACAAAAAGTTTTAAAATAATGTTTTTTTTTTTATTTTTTTATTGAACTTAAGCTTTGGCGACTAGGGCCATTAGCTGTTGTAGGGGTTATGAACTGTGGTAGGGATAAGGTGGGTATGGTAGGTTGTTTTTTTATGATTGTTATGGTTGATAGAAAACACGTGTATGTGTGACAATGTTTTTAACCACTATGATCCCGGTTTGTCACCCATCCGGGAGCTAGTAGTTGTGGCCGTTGCTTACTCTGTCGCATTCCGCGACTGGTAGCAGCCAACGCGCCATGCCAAGCCAAAATTATGTTTATTACATCATAAAAATTTCAATTATTCTCACTATGCCACAGCGCATTTTCTAGATCATTATTTTAACGTCATGGAAAAGTTAATAATATAAATCTAAATTAATTTGCGGCCGTATGGCCTCCTAAAAATGATATGGTGTGGCAGCCAGTGGTCTAAAAACTATAAATATCTAATTATTTTTATATGGACACCAGAGGCTGCATAGTAGTTAACATATTATTATAGCTTTGAAAAATGTCAAGTTTGCTATTATATTTGTTTATTTAAGTATTAATGTTATTGTGTTATTAATTCTTCAAAACCCAATATTACATTAATTTTTGTATCATTTATTAAACTATTTAAAACAAAATACAATAGATATATTTTGGTTTAAAATCATTATTGATAAGTCAGTATAAACTATGAATTTTTAATACAATATACGACCTTATAAGACTCTAAACCCATATCAGCAAAGTGCATTCAAATATAATTATTTAAAAGTTTCACGATAAGCATTAATATTTAGTCAAAACTTAGTTTGAATAACATGCAAGCAAATACTAGAGTTTTATTCAGTTCTTACCTCTCTTTCTAAATAACTGTCCAATGACTCAGTCTCATTATACAATGTTACTGTGCACTTTCCACGTATATGTGTGGCTGCCAATGTTTCCACTTGCCTGCTTAAAAACAACTCGCGTTGTTTAAGCTGTTCACCACGCCACCAGTCATGTTGTGGTTGTGTGCCCTGTGTTGTTTTATCTTCATCTTTTACGACATCTGAAGCTATTACACACAATAATTAATATTCATACACAGTATTTTAATTCCTACAAAGCACAACAATATTGATTATATTTACATTTATCGTTTGTTTCAACCTCATCACCATCTCCTCGAGCATCTGCACTTTTGACAACAGCGGCAGATGCAGTAGAATTAGTTTCCGCATCTTCTGACATCTCTACATCCTGCTGTTGTTGCTGTTCCTCTTTCACGCTTTCGCTAACTTCAGATGTTTCTATTTTACTGGCAGATAGTTCTTCGCTCTGCTGTTCTTTTTTCACAACTGGTAGAACCCCACTAGCATTGGAGTCTTGTTCTTTCTTGTCCGCACTAGCGTCTTTATCACTAGCTGAAGAAGATTTGACTTTACCAGCTCCTTTAATAGCGCTATTTCCACCAGGAGATAATGATAATGTCAATGACAGTTGCTGCTGCTGCTGATGCTGTTGGTGTTTATCAGCTAGGGCGACAAGTTGAGCTGGGAGATCTCGTCTCCTATAGAAACACATGACTTTAGCTTCAACATTACCACCCGCAGTCTTATTGAGCTCTTCTATTCTACGTATTTGGAATGGCTGTTGCTGTTGTTGCTGCTGCTGCTGTTGTTGCTGCTGTTGAGCTTCAAAGTACACATAATCTATAACAAAATAAAGTGTTAGTAAACGACAAAACATGCACAAGTGTGTCTACGCGGTTCGCATCACAGGGCACAATCGCAACACAACAGTGAATCACGTCACGTCGTCGTAAACAAATAGAGATGAAAAGACGAGCGAACGCTGCGGATGCAAAGTACACTAATCATGAACCGTACAGGTAAACGAGGTGTCCTCGCAAACAATTCGACCGAAACCACTCACCTCCGACGCGGTACATGTTGCTGCCGCCGGCACTAGTGCTGTTGCTGTTGTTGCTGCCACTGTTGATGGTCGCCATGAGAACGGCGATGGTCGTGACGAGCTAACGATGACGATCTGTTTGACTGTTGGTCAACACACGAAATCGCTTTCTTCCGTCCCGAACGGGAACTATTCCCACGTCGGACGGTTGTCGCCGTTGGCTGGGTCGATTTCGAAAATCCTTACTCTGGCCGCAACAAGCCGCAGACGCCGCTTAGGGCATCTTATTGTCGCGTACCGTAAACCACCACCACCGCCGCCACCGCCGCCGCCGCCGCCGCCACCACCGCTATCGTAGCCGCCGGCCGGTATAATGTTTGGAGGAGCGCTCGGACAGTATTGGCGTGCGAATGACGCTGAACGAGCGGGACTACTTCGACTGTGCTGTGTCGGACAACGAACGCACAAACGCCACAAACAGTTTGTACGCGCACGAGTTCGCAGATAAACAAACGGCTACGGCCAAACAAACATGTACGTACGACGACGTCGGTGTTGTTATCCTTTACACACACACACACGCGCGCGCATAGTGCATACACACACGCACACACACACACACAGAGACGCTCGCGCGCACGCACGCACACAAGCGAGAGCACACGCGCACACACGCGCGGGCGCCGCGCACGCACACAAACACACGGACGCACGGACACACGGCACAACACGCTGCTGTTTTGCGGTTTACGACGCGAGTACGCGACGGCGGCGCGGCGTAGCGTTTGTTGTTATAATTTATTATTTTGTCGGAATCGTCGTGTAATCACTATTAGCGCAGCGGCGTCACCTCCACGGAAAAGAGTGGAGGCAATTGCCGGCGAAACCCTGCGGTGTACGCGACGATACGATCATATTACCTACGCAACGGGGCGCGAACGCAATCCTACCACCGATAGGTTAGCGTTGCGCTAGATCGAAAGCTCTATACGAAATGCGATTTTTGATTAATGATTTAAATTATAGTAGATTTACGGTAGGCAGGTGACGAGATACGGTACGAGTCGCAAATTGACGAAGGGAAGAGGTTTAGATGAGGTAGGAGTGTAGGACGAGCGGTTCGCTCTGTGTGCGCACGAGATGAAATCACCGAAATAGATATTTGCTTACACGATTCGAAGACGTTAAAATTTCCGTTCAACAGAATCTATTTTATGTCGTTAGCTTTAATATCAGAGTAAATTTATCTATCATCAAAATAAGAGGTAAGAATTTTGTTTAGGCCATCACATGGGCTTTTATTATTAGGTATTATAATTTTAAAGTGAGTTATGAGCATTTTAAAGTTTTAATATTTTACATAGCTATAACTCGGTTTAAAATTAAAATATCAATAAAATCCTATATGACGGCCTACATAAAATTCTTACTTTTAAGTTTGATAATACCTAAGTAAATTTACTCTAACATTAAAGCTAACAACATAAAATGAATTCTGCTGAACGAAAATGTACTATGTTATATTTGTGTAAGACGCAGATAACACATACGGGTGTGGCGTCCTCTTACCTAATATTCAAAAAATTGGTAAAAAATATAATTGTAACGAATTTAAAATTTCCAAAAATGAATCACATATTTTTCCACATATTGGGACTTTTATAAAAATACGCATTTTTTCGTGCGATTTTTAAAAAATACCTACATAATAATATACATATTTTTTAAGAACAGAAAAAAACAAATTACAAAACAATAATATTTATTTGTCAATATTATTATATAACTTATGTATAATAGTTGCCCTCATAAGAAAAGTGTAAAATTATATTCCAGATTTCCACGATAGAATTTATAATAACTTCTGAATCTTTATTGCTATTATTATTTTCACTTTTCAGTTCTTATAAAATATAAATGTATCTTTTATAAGTAATGTAGTCGTATCTTTGTAACTTTTCAAAATCCAAACAAAATATTTTAATTTAGAGATAATAGTTATCATAAAACAAAAATGAATAAAATATATAATATTATAATTTCACAGTAGTTTTTTAGATCTGGAACTAACAAAATGATTATTTGAAATGATTTATTGAATTGTTATAAAAATCCAAAAATTACCATTTAAAATAAATTTTTGATTTACTTAATACTTTTTAAACGTTCTCTTTTGTTTTTCTGACTAAAAAGTGTTTACTTACATATATTTTAGGAAAATAAAACAAATGATTGCGGGTAGATAAGTATCTATTTTTATATTAAAATCAAATTAAACAAAATCAGATTAATGCATAATAATTAGTAAGTAGGACAAAAAAAGCTTTAATCGTTTAATTCTTTAGTTACACAGTGTAACTTACACTACAGTAATTAACACTAAATAGTGTGTTATTTTAGACGTAATTATAATAAAGGTAGGTATAATAATTTATTCATATAGTGCTTAGATATAAGTAATTTAAGTGCATTAAAGTCCGCTTTTTATTTATAAACTAATAAATCGTACCAAGGCATTTCAAATAGATTACTCTAATTCCAATTAAACCAATAGATATTATTATAATATAATATGTGTAGATCAAACCATAAAAATATTATAATTACTTTCGGTTATTAATTAAGCTATTAAGATTAACTATAGCGGTGTATTATATTTTAATTATATGTACATAGCTGTAAACTATAAATATAAAATACATACGATATGCCAATAATATTCATATTACATGTAATAAATATTATACATATAATCATTGATTTTAAATGCCAGTATTTAAAATTAATTTTATAATACAAATAAACGTATAGTTCCTTAGCTAGTATTGATGTTTAATTATCTTTTAAATAAAATTAAATGATTGTTATAATCTGAGATCAAATTATATTGACAGTAAAAATAAATAATTTGCTATGCTTAAACCAAAATGAAATCATAAAAATACAACACCTCAACACTCACTAAAAATTATCAATTTAAATTTGTATTAATTACATGGTTTTACTAAAAATTGAAAATAATTTTACGCATATAAACCTAAGTAAGTGATTTTTTTTTTTTAACTCTAATGGCTATTAGGTACAAAGGGTATGCTCCCTTACTACCACCAAAAATTAATATTTAATAATATATATAATTTAACTATTGATTTATGATATTTTTTTTTAGATAATTGTTTAAAAAAAAAAGAAGAAATCAAGAGTAGCCTGGTGTGGCGTAGTGGTTGGCCTCAGACATTAATGTGTTCTGAGGTCAAATATTGGCAGCATCACAAGCTCTCGGATGGGTGACCAACCCGAGTTCTTAGTGACGAATTCATGGTACATATACACACGTGTTCCAACCCTACTGACCAATCCTTACAAACAAATCTTACACAAAATACCTACTGTTCCAATCCATAGCTAATGGCCTTACTTGTCGGGTTTATATAAATATATCAATAAAAAAAAAGAAATCAAGACAGAATAACTATAAATTTAAAAAGAAATATGTATTAACCACTATTATTTTAACAATAACTTTGTATTTGTTTCCCAATAATCCATATCATACTATAAAAACGTGCAAACGATTAAAACAAATATAATATATATTATACATATTCTATAGTAAATAAATATTTATTTATAGCATATAATCCATACAGCCATGCCTATGCATATTAAGTACACATATGACATACATACTAATAAACTTACCTACATAATAACTAATATTACACAAAACAATTCGAGAGCGTTCATCTGTGGTTAAAATCGAGATGGGTCTTAGATAACAAATACAATATTATTATTACTCATTTATTAGTCGTAGGGTCTGGATATTCAGGTTTTTTTACGTAATTTAAAGCATATATTTATTACGTAGTCTTATAAAAGTAAAAAAAAAGTGGACAATTCATCAATACAGAGAAAATATTTTTTTTATATTTTAGAATATTCCGAGGGTTATTAGGTAATCAATGGTAAACCGAAAATAGCTATAGCTACATTTATTTATCAATTTATCATTAAGTTCAAATTTAACACATATAGTGACTTACTCTGTTACTCAAAACAAGATACACTCGACACCTATATTCTACAACAAAGCAGTTACCTACTTTTCCTTATTTTAGCTTTAATTTCAAAATATTCAGCTTATAATACAAAAAAAAAAAATGCTAATTGTACACTTTTTCTATATATTAATTAAATATAAACAAAATTAAAAGTGAAATTTTAAATAATTTTTGAAAAATTTGATAACACTTTTATAATTTTGTAGGTAAATTATATTAGTTCTATACATTTGTCAATTTGTTTGAATTCGGATAGAATAAATGCATTTTATTTGGATAGATTTTCATTATACTCGTTAAAACAAATTCTATTGGATTTATTATTGAATCTAACATCTAAGGACAAAGTGTACATAACATAAACGTAGATAAGTACAGATATCTTGTAAAGAACTAACAAAAAAAAAAAATGTATGACTCATAAAATAAAATAGTTCAAGAAATTAATAATGTTTGATTTTTAGATCTTGATGATTTACTATAATTATTTTATATTATAAAAGGGTACATTCATGAATAACTATTGTTAAGCTATACAGCGTGTAGGGGCGATACATTAATAGGTATAATAAAATAAAAATAAATGAACACATATAGACAGTTTCTAGGAGAGACATATTTGACGTTATGATTAAGTATTATATCTAATAAATAATAATTTATAGTTAATTGAAGTAAATTAGTAAAGCAATAATTTATAACTAAAATGGTTTTATACTTTCATCTTTAAAAAAAGAATTAAGTAAATATACAATGCATTTAAGGCAATAAATGATTGAATGTTAATATTTAACATCGCGTTAATTTGGTCGAATGATAATATTGTAGATAATTAAGTAATCTAGAATTATTTAAAACTTAATAATAGACCTAATTTACAAATTATTGTAGCTATCTTATTATGACTCATGAGTGTATTTTAATTTTATATTCATGATGCAATTGATGTATACATAATATACCATGCCACTAAGGTAGTTAGTTCGTAACGAACACACGCATACGTCATGTACACATGCACATACAAGTTATTTATTACGATAAATGTACGAATACCCTAGGTTTTACTGACTACTTCCAGTAGACAGTAATAAAGTTATATAGATACAAATAAATGTCGGGCTATTAGTCATAGCGAATCGATATCGTTGAATTCTAATTTCTCGGATATACAAAATAGTTCAGCACACTTCGAAAATTATAGTAGGTTTCACAATAAGACTTTTTTTGGAATACACTGTTTTTTTTTTTTTTTTGACAAGGTTCTTAGTGTTCTCATAATTTAAAATAAATATTTACGGTCACAATAATGGTATTTTTGTACTTGCTGTTTACTCTATGTACGAATTCAGTCACTACCTTCACGGCCCGCGGCCTGTTGATACTTGAAGTTGTAATATTAAACAACTAGTCATAAAAAACGTAATAACGAGTTTCCTAGGAGTCAGCAATCATTGGACAAATACGTTTTTCTTCTGCTACAATGGTAATATTGTCCAAACTCTGAATCAGTTGACAATAGTGTACCGATTTTTCAATTCTAA